CAGTCTACCAATGAAGGTATTGAGTGACAGTCTACCAATGAAGGTATTGAGTGACAGTCTACCAATGAAGGTATCGAGTGACAGTCTACCAATGAAGGTATCGAGCGACAGTCAACCAATGAACTTATTGAGTGACAGTCAACAAATAAAGGTATTGAGTGACAGTCTACCAATGAATGTATTGAGTGACAGTCTACCAATGAAGGTATTGAGTGACAGTCAACCAATGAAGGTATTGAGTGACAGTCCACCAATGGAAGTATTGAGTGACAGTCTACCAATGAAGGTATTGAGTGACAGTCAACCAATGAAGACATTGAGTTCACATGATATCAATGAGCAAGTATAGAGTAATATAAACCTGACTAACCTTCAGCATAGAGAAATATTAATCCCACTGTCATTAGCAATGGATGTAGGTTGAATTGTTGGTCACTTCCATCCCAAGCAAATCCACCCAAATATTTACCCATCCACACACCAATCAATGTAATTCCAAGCAAACCAACTAACTGCGAACACAGTACTAATACTTGAAAAAATATCATCTTTTCCATTTGTTTTCACTATACGATCTGAAATAAAGAAAAAGAAAATTTTGTTAAGACTAATATATATATATACACATTGTATATATATATTGTGTTCCGTTTCAAAATACTGTTACAGTTTACAATTTTTCTGGTCAGTGTGCATCAAATATTTTTATAGCAAAAATAAAAATTGACGAACCGACCTATTTTTGAAATAATTCGATCTGAAACAGTTTTGTTTCCAGGGGCCTTTGTGTTTTACCTGCAAGAGAATGTGATACTGGACTGCATGAGTAAACAATTCAACTGATCCCTTTTATGACGTTCTCCTCTACCTTAAAAGCGACAATAACTGTGATTTTGAAAAAAAATCAAAAGCTGAAAATTAATTAATTATGCAAATTAGGTAATTAATATGCACTGACATTACCTTAAAAACTATCAGGTCCTATGACATCTATGTACCAAGTTTCATTGAAATGTGATGATTAGTACTTGAGATATCAGTGGAAAAACCAAAAATTGACTAATCATTATGCAAATTAGGTAATTAGTAATTAGGTAATTTTTACCAAAAACTAATCAAAACCAAGCATTCGTTCAGAGCATCCATGTACCAAGTTTCATCAAAATCCAATAAGTGGTTCTTTAGATATCAATGGAACAGCTAAAAATTAGCTTATTATCATGCAAATTAGGTAATTAATATGCATGAAATTTTACCAAAACCTAATCAAATCTGCGCATTAGCCCAGAGCATCTATGCACCAAGTTTCATCAAAAACTGATGTATGGTTCTTGAGATATCAGTGGAACAGACGGACACACATACACACACACACACACACACACACACACGCACACCCACACACACACACACACACACACACATACTAACCGCAAAGACTCCCATTTTGTGCTTCGCACATGGGAGTCAAAAATTGGAGGAAAAAGATCAATAATTACAGCTACTGCCACATCAATTTTAAATTTCAATAACTGTGGTCAAAGTCATGTAGATCCCTTTGAGAATGACGATGATATTGCAAGGGTGACAAGTAGTCTGTATTTTGTTTCAAACACTGTTAAAAGCGTGATTGGTATGTGTAAGTGCTAACATGATGTAACTGGATAACTGTACAATACATTACTTTTACTCAAAATTTATTGTCGCTGAAGGGGAAAACAACTACCGTATATGCTTTAAGGTGTTGGTGGTATGAGACCTTTGGGAGTACACCTTTTCCCCATATACAGTGTAGTTTATATTTCACCTAATTTCATAATCTTAGCCACATTGTACACATCAATATATAAAAGTGTTTTATTACGTTTTACCATGTGCCATTTTTAGACTTATTTCAAAAAAAACAAAACAACATTAATATAAGCTGCTGCCCAAACCATGCAACTACTTGTATTTTTGACACACAGAATACTTTTATTTTGCAAGGCTATCCAATACTGTGAAATATCTTCGCATGGAATTTTGTTTTCAATATTTTTGCTGAAGGGGTGATTCAGTGAAAATTAAATCCAGCAAATATATATTCAAAACCCAACTTCATACAAAACTAAAATATCTGTTCAGCAAAATCTAATTACAGCTAAAATTAAGTATTTTACAGTACATTTAAAAAAAATAACATCAACTGAGGATTTGAAAAACTCCCATGTATACATTTTTTTATGATGGTACACCATAAGAGAGTCATATACAACAGCTGTGAATGAATCAGTCTTTGATCTAATCCCTGTACAATATTAAAATCAGCCTTTTCACATCACTGGTTGCTATGACAACTCAAGTCATTTTCAGAAGAATGGGTTGTGATACAGGGTTGTTCATTTCGTGATGTAGAGCCTTTCAAAAATAAATACGTATGGTATATATCTGATGTGCAATCACATAGTTGGTAGTGAAACTACAATACTATGAACCCCCCACCCCACCTCCACCCCAATATGTCTAATTACGATCACTACTAATGTCAGTTTCGAATTGGCACATCCTTTTTAAGGGGTTTTGTCAAAATATTAAAAGAACAATATATTTTCACAACAATTAAAGCTAAATATTTAACAAGTTGACAGTTTCTGTCAAATAACAAATGACATTTCATTGGAAGTCTGAAAATAAAGTGTTGTTTCCATATTTAGAAAAAAGCAACAATTTTGTTTTTTGTGTTTTCAGGCTGTGTATAACACTATAACTTATAGTGAACAGTAAAAAATATTAACAGTACAAAAAGAAAAATTATTCATAGTGCATTGGCCAAGTCAGCTCGCTATAATATTCCACACGTGAGACCAATTGTCCATGAATCAAATACCTAACAATTACAAGTTCGCAACATTATGCTGGATAACAAATTTCAGTGGTTCACATCATACTCAGTACTGCAAATCAACCAAAATCATTTTCAAGCAACATTCTCCAAATTAGGGAAGGACTATGTGATATTTATGGTGAGGGAATAATTTGGTAACTTGGCAATATGTCATTTCTGGAAATCACTGGATTTATATAATTTATTATCTCTAATCTCAAAATATTATTGATTTAATATTAATATATTTATAATTCAACAAGCCAGTGGCTGCACCAATCAGAATTGAGTTGAAATAGATGGGATCAACAAATATTGCACTGATGGTATGTGGTGGGAAATATTTGTTTACTAGTATTTACAATTGAAAAATTTGTCAACTATGCAGTTCAGCGCATTAATTTTACAGAATTGAATAACACAAATATGAATGTGACACCCTTCAACTATCGAATGGTCAAACCCTTGCTTCCAGGTATGCAAAATAGTGCACTCACAATGACCAAAGTTATGTTTCAGAACTGTATAAACTACTTTTCAAGAACATATAAACAGAACATTTTGTCACAAAATTTACTAAACTGATAGAGGTTGATCAACACAATACATGTGCATTAGGCCAAAAAAAAATTGTTTTGTAGCCCTCAAATATTAAAAACTCACTATTTTAAGCAGTAAAAAATGGTTTCCTGGACCATTGTTATAGGTGTTGACTTTGAACCTTTTGATCTGTATTTCTCTGACATGTTCCGAACACTATGAAGTCCATATACCTTGACTATTTATGATACTCTTAGTTTTCACAAATTAAAAAAAAAAAAAAAAATCTGAACGACCGACCCAATTTTTCAACTTGAGGGCAACATTAGTTTTTTTTTTTTTTGGCCTTATCAATATCAGCATGTGAGACCAAATAGTGTCATAGAAGTAATCTAAGCATTTTTATAGCTTTTGGTACCTAATTTGCATAATCTTTGGCAGATTGACTTGGAATGAACAAATTTCCAGCTACTTTCACCAAGACAGCTAGAAAATGATCAAACGGTTCAACGGTTTCTGAGAAGAAGTCCCCAACATGAAACCTTCAGACACTGGACACAGCATCATCAGTATGGCTCAGTTGACATACAGTCTTTTGAGCTAAAAAATGTACATACAAGCAACATTTTCAACACAACAATGTTGAGTCTAAAAATACTCTATGTTGTGTGTTCTTCACCGTATTACATTTATATTTAAATTTAAATTACAGGACTGTCATTATGACTTGCACATTTTATTTTAGGAACAGTTGGTGACCATTGTTACTATTAAATCTGTAGTAGAAAATGCATCCCTAATAAAAGATGCACCCTTTCTTTTTGAACAATTCAGAACTACAATATCTTCATTCCTCATATGTGTAGATGCTCCAATAGAAGCCGCATCCCCTCTGTTGCATTTTAACATTTTAATAGAAGCTGCAGCTTCTAATACAGATTTTACAGTACTACGGTGTAATGCTATAATAAAAGCTACTGTACTGAGGATCGTCTGTTTGCTTATAATTCAACTAGTAATTGGCAGATTAAAAAAATAAATGAGCGGAAATATTTGAGACTACATATTGTCTATGTTAGTTAGTTTGTTGATTGCCATATTATTATCAGGGTATATATTTAAGGGATAAAAAAAGTAAAAATGTATTTTTTTATAGAAAATTGCAAAACTAAACATTTTTAAAGCTTTCATGCTACACGTCTGCATGTTGACTGCTTCATGTCAAAACAATGATTTTGAAAAGAAAATGTTCTCACAAATATAAATATTGAAACAGTATTTACTGTAAACAGCTACAATTTCATGAGTGAAAAATTGTTTCCATGTTAACGAAAAATCTGCAAAATTTATTATCAGTGATAATGGCGAAAATGTGTCCTTTTGCACGTTTTTTAATCAACAAGCTGCGAAAATTAATAACAGCAGGAATATTATGATTTATAGTAGACCTAACAAGCTACATACATTACATTGTACTGATAGTTTGACAGACACTTTAATATTTAGCTTACATCAAAATTTGACCGCAAAATAAACTCTAATATACGAGGGTACTTTGTAACATTTTATACTGAGATATTCAGTCCCAAATAAAGGTTTGTAACCCAGTTTTTATTGAAAAAAATATTCAACAGCTAGGGGATCCAAAAATAATTATTCAAACAGCAATTTGCCAATCCAGACAATTTGCTAAATAATGTCCATAGGCAATAGTTTAATATGCTAATCACCACTAGATATTTTACGCACAAGTCATACCACATTTACCGTGATCAAACTGACAAAAAAAAAAAAAAATTATACGTGTATTCATCATAACAAATGAAGACGTGACAATTTTCGAATTGGATGTACCGGTATAAGTAATTTGAATACTTATAACTGGGATTATTTTGATCCAGCAGTAGTTACATGTTCATAACAATTCATAATTATAACAGATATCTGTGACCTGCATGACTTATTTAACACCCCTTGGACATTAATTTTTTTCCTGCCGAAAATATTTTGTGCATTTTTATGTGTTTTTCTTTAATTTCTTTATTAATTATTTACCAAAAGCATGTAATTTCCCAGTCACTATAGATCTTTATCAAAATTTCAGGAAAATATTGAAAAAAATTATGTAACTTTATTTTGTGAAAAGTGAAGAACAAAGGATGATCTTTGTTACCTTTCACAAAATAATCCTAAACCTACATAAATTGTTTCCATGTTTTATTCCAGAAATTATGATCAATACCTGTAGCTAATGAAATAATATGTCTATACAGTCCAAGATTAAAAATAAAATTAATGTGCATCAATATTTTGGAGGGAAAATCAACTTGGTAATTTTCATCAACTCAAAAAAAAATATATTGGATATCATTGCCTCACGATAATGTTAATGGCAACATTTTATTCATTTTTATTCACACAAAAAAAATTAAACAGATAAATTCTCTAGGTATCAAATACTCAATCCATTATAAGTGCAAATACAAGCGTCTTCACAACTAATATTTGATTATCTAAATACGCATAAAATGAATACTAAATGAAGATATCATTTGATAATACCTTACCTTAATTTGATTTCACAAGATTGAAAACATGGATAATTTCCCAGTCAACAGAAGTTACAAAATCTAACTAACCATAAAGACACAAATTTGAATAGGAAACCACAGGTAATTTTTTCCAATGAAACACACCTACTATGTCATTATAGTAGTGTATTAGATTAGACTCGGTGTAAATAGAAAACTAATGTGAATATTTTACATTGATATCAAAACATTAACCAAAAATACAATTCTTAATATTCTATAGATATTATATTCATTCTGAATAAAAATTAAATTTAAAATACATTAGGTCCAATAATCAATCTATAAAACTACACCTACAATATGTGTGCGATGAACCGACTCAGTTGCCGTAGGATTATAACATTCACAGAAAGATAGAGTCAGTATTCATCTTGCCAAGATGTACGCTATTAATAATTCATTGACAGCCATTAATACGTCAACAATGCGTAAACTGATCATATTGTGATATTCTCAAACGATATTGACGAGATCTAATAGATGCAGCCGTTGATAATTATCATGTACACTCCCGAATGAGGTGGTAATTATTTCACTGTAGATGCATAATTGCGATACAAAACTACACTGAGATGGGTATGATTTTAACGGAATATATATGCCATCAGAAATTGATCATACTCATATTGCAGAGAATTATAGAAATTATAGAAAAAAAAAAGATATGTAATATGATTTACCTTGCTAACACAGTGGAGACAGCTGAGCGTCTGGCAGAATTCTCACTGTAATCACATAAAATGAAGGAGAGAATAAGATCACTTCTATGAATACATTATGCAAAGTACCCTGATCACATGACCCAGTCTGAGGGAATGGCAAATAAATTATTTCAGATTACATGGAATCAGTGCAAAACAAGAAAAGAATGCTAGAAAATCAAATTAAATTAAACTAAAATTATATATATAGTAAAAAAAAAGATGTGACTAAAGGCAACTTGGCTGAAGCATGCTCAAAATAGGGAATATTTTGGATCAAGTTCTTTCAAGTATCATGTATTAAATAAAAGGCAAATTTCTGTATAAAATGTATTTCTGTTTATGAAGAAAGGCTAATTATAACAGCAATTATTTCTAAATGTCATATCAAATTCTACATGAAGGACATGTTCGTTGTTGTGTAGAGACACAGCTATTGTGATAGAAACAAGGGTGATTTGAATGCTACTATTGTTATGCAGGGAACACAGCTATAAAGGCAGCACAAAATGAGTAACTTGGGAGAATCCATTGTAATGTAGGTATTGCAGCTATAGTTGTGCTAGAAGACCAATTTGGTTGAATCCATTGTTATGCAGGGACATAGCTATCAGAACAAGACGTGTTTTGAATAATACAAAAGCATAGAACTTAGGGCCCATTTTCTACGATCTACAGTTAAAGTAAATGTTTTAACCTATTAATCTTGAAATTGTAATAGTATTTGAAGTGTTTCGTTAACTGCAAATCCCAAAATAAATGCTCAGAAATTTCCTGGAAATCTGTGCTGATGCAACAGTGAGCTAAAACATATGCTTAGGTTAAATGTCACAATAACAACAAAGGAGAATGACATATACTTTACTGTATCAATAAGCACTATTCTATTCCATATTCACTGTATACAAAACTGTTCTATATTCGTACAATCAGCTGCTCAAATCCCTACAATCACAGTTTACATCACTATGCACTGTGTTAGAATCTTAGTTTACTCATTGTGCTGCTTGTCTGTATTAGTATGACTTTATTCGCATACGGTAGGTCTATCAGATGGCATAATACAGAAAAATTAAGATACCAGAAAAAATTCTGAATTAGCCCAAACTGCAGCACAAACTATAGTTGTCATAATGCAATTAAAGTTGCATGATAAATTTGAACACAGCCAGTAGTTTCACACAAATAGCAGCAAATATGTCTCTCTCATATTAAATTGAAATCGTTGAGATTTGAAGCGAAATGTATATTTAAAATTTGACCTGATTGTCTGAGAAGAGCGCCACCAACTTTTTTTACAAGTGGAAACTGGTCGTGATCAAGGTATTTATTAGGTAAAACTATGACCATTTTGATTTTTTTGGGTTTACAACGACTCAACGTAATTATTTTCTAGCTATGATCCCTATTTCAGTCTAATATTCTGTTCTAAATCCTTCGTTAAAACACGTTCGATTATAGGATGAGATGTTTGAGTACTGGCCGAGGGCCACGACCTGTTTTTTTCGGCCCACACTAAACCCGGTCAAGACTCAAACGATAATTTTCGTCATTTGAATCGAGCTATTACTTAACTGGATATTAGTGACAAGTTTTCAGTTTTGGTCGCTATGGCGATCGTATTTTAGTGTTTGACTATTGGCTGAGGGACTGTACATGTTGATGGAATATATAGCAGGTAAATATCAGCCAAGCAGCCAAGTCTCCTAAAAGCATCCAGATTAGTTTTGCAATTTGTATTTTTATACAAATTCCATGGGACAATTCTTAACCAACCAATCCTTGCACAATGAAGGTTGTGTCCCCCCCTTACTTTTCTTGCATGAATCTTCTGAGTCATTTTCAGTGCGTTTAGTTGGACATGTAAATTACATATTTTATTTATTCAATATTAATCTTTACAGACTGAATACAGCTTTTGTGGCCTGAGGTCATGCGACAGAAGCACCTGAGCTTGCGCCATACGACCAGGAACAATTAACAGAAGCTGTATCCAGTTCATAAAGGCTTTATCATATACCTTATAGCTATAATTACATATTTACCACATGAACTCAAACACACGATGTAATTTAGAATGACGCTGGACCAGGCGTGATACGGAAAATTATTGCCTTGATGTGAGGGCACACTTCCCATAGCATTACAAGGCCGGCCAATACAAGGTATATGATAATGGATTATATGTGCTTCTAGCAGAGTAAATTTAGTATTGAGAACTAGACTTCTATTCATATAAATATATTTATACTTATTAAAAGCTTGACAAGTGTCATCTTGTGAATTTAAATATAGAAAAGATAATATTCTTTATGGACTGGATACAGCTTTTGCAGGTCAAAAGGTCGTGCAGCAGAAGCTTGCGAGGATGCATAAGACATATGACTGGGGGGTGTAATTACAATTTTACCACACCGTGACCTCAAACACACAGCGTTATTTACAAAGAAGCGTTTTGTTTTGATTGATGAAAGTAGAGCACACTGGGCCAGTCATGATACGGAAATTATTGTGTTGATGTGAGGGCGCTTCCCATAGCGTCACAAGGTCAGGCAATACAAGGTATATGATAATTTGCATGTAAAAAATTTGTTTTGAAAATAATATGATGGTTTACTTATTACCATACTATGACAAGTTTAATACCAAACAAACTGTACATTTTTTATGTAACTGTCATATCTAATGAAAAAATGTATCCTAGTATTCATAATACTGTAGGCACTTACACAATTCGTAATTTTATATATTTCACTTTAATTTGCCTTCGTGGATATTTTCCAATTGGAAGGAAGAGTTACTGTCACTGTCATATTGTTTCGAACACCAAAACAGCAACATTGTCAGCTGAGTTGGTGACTGGCTTGCCATGCATGCATTGTCAAACCAACTTCAACAGGAGATGTCAAACTAATAGTGGGAGACCGGGGTACATTGAATATAAAATCTAACATCATGAAATATAAATTTCTGAGCCTAATTGAGTTGTATCAGAGGTACATTACTTGGGGTTTGCAACGCACATAGTACTGTATGGTGACATCATGCCAAGATTCCATTCAAGTCTCATCTTGTAGATAGTGACACGGATGCTACTACCTTCTGACATGACATAGGCGGTTTTGTATTACCACATTCATCGTGAAAAAATGTAATACATTGAAAATGTACAGAAAATATAGTTCTCGTAATCCATCATATCGTGAGCAGCTATTTTGATCCACCTGGACATCCCAGTATCCTAGTTACCTTGGGCATGCACATTCACATTTTTCTGAGTTGGAACGCTTATGCGAGAGCGAGAGCGAGATTGTAATGGGATCTTGGTATCATGTCATCGTAGTTGCAAACCCCAAGTAATGCACCTCTCGTTATATATATCGAGACTATCGGTATTAAAAAAAAAAAATCTGGAATAATCCTAAATCAAAAAAATAACCATTTTGTTGATACTTTGAACAAATTAATAAATACTCATTTAAATTTAAAGTTCATCTTGTTTGAAGAATCATTGTAAAATAAAAGTCACTACTTATTCTGAAGCGAAAAGTGGTTCCAATATTAAAGATAGGATTCAGATATAGCTCTTACCCCCGGTAGTTCCAAATTATCATGAGAAATAATTGAATTTACAATTTATACTGAAAAATACTACCGCTAATATTTTTTTGGATTTTTTTTTTTTCAATCAACCTGGGATTTGGAAATTATTAAATAATTCCAATTTGCCAATAAGCAAATTAACATGTAAATAGATGTAAACAAAGCCCAAACAATGCAATTCAACCAGCATTAATAATAAACTCATTAACACTCTAAATAAATAATACACAATCAGATGAGATTACAGTAAGGGGTGATCCATTTCAAATCTAAATGAAGCAGAAGCTGGATGAAATTACTTAAAAATAATATTCACACTTTTCTTCCTAATTACCGTGACAAGGATTTGTCTCTGAACATTATGTTTATTCCCAGGGTTTTTTTGAACTAGTGTTGAAAGAACAATTTTTGTTCATACCATTAAGCCTGCATAATTTGTTATTTATGATCATTTTGTTTTCAAAACCCTTTTGCCCGGCAGATTACTGTCACCGCCATATTGTTCCGAACACCAAAACAGCAACATTGCCAGCTAAGTTGCTGACTAGTTTGCTAAGTGTTCTTGGAGATTATTATGTGATTAGAACAAGTTGGGTCAATCCAACCTCAACAGGAGACATCAAACTACCTAATAGTGGAGGACTTAGACACATCGGATTATAAATAGAAGATCACGATGCAATTGCTTTTCATTTTATTTTATTTAATCTTATACATTTCATTTTTGCAAAGTTATGTATTTATACAGTATGAAATAGAAGATCACGATGCGATTGCTTTTCATTTTATTTTATTTAATCTTATACATTTCATTTTTGCAAAGTTATGTATTTATACAGTATGAAATGTCTGGACACTGGCGATGGTGTATCTGGTAAGCGTCATTTTAGCCCTTGTAAAAGTTGTTTGAACTAAACAGTTTTAATCATGTAACGATTTTGAGACACACATAACAAACCAGTCAGCAACTTAGCTGACAATGTTGATGTTTTGGTGTTCGGAACAATATGGCGGTGACAATAAAATGGGTTACCCCTAAGTGATACAAGTATCGTATGGGACAATGAACAACAACTGAGATGAAACAATTTCAATAGAAACTTTTACACCAAGTTATTTCATTCATGGAAAATAAAGACAATGTACAGAACAGTGTTTTAGGTAGTTTTTATGGCGAATCTCCAGAGAACATATTCTTGTATTTTACTAGTAATTTTCCTTGAATTCCACAACATCTTTGTGTGAAAATGCTTCATGTCGTTGTCTGTCAACAGTGAAGAGTATTGATGACAAAAATAAAAAAAATGTTACAGGTTTTATTTGGACAAATCGTCTTTTTGGCTCCTTGGACAAATCACCAATCATAATTTTTTTACATTTTAACTAAACTATGTTTTGTACTTGTTCTTCATAAATCACATTTCATTTTATGATCACGGAATATTTTTAGAATGGTTTTAAACCGAGCTGTGCATAAAATATTGATATTGATTTTCATAAATGGAAATTATAATAACAATTTGTTTGTATTTCAAAAGAATACAATTTGTAAACAGTTTTCAATTAAATAAAAAAAAAGTATAGTAAATGCTAGAATATTGTATGCAAATGATATGCAAAACAACATGCAAATTTATGCTAATTAGGCCACACACCAGTTACTTTGGATCTCGGAGAAAACTGTTGGGTACATGCCACAATGTTGACTCATTTGAGTACATGTTGCAAAATTTCTACTAATTTGGAAGGTACCAGGTACTATAATAAATCGGTTCATTGGCCCCCGCCAATTACATATATACATTACATACAAAACACAAAAAAGATTTTAAGAGACTTGCGTAAAAAAACGTTGAAAACAGACCATAAAAAGATTAATTTTTTTATCTAATTGGGAAAATGCAGATTCATAAATATTGAACAATAAATTAGGCCACAAAATTTAAGAATATAAGAAATTAATTTATCTTTAATAAATATGCATCAGAGGGAATAAGTTGTAGATGTACTCTTGGCGCAACATAGCCCTTTATCTTTATAAATATCTATCAGTTTCAATGGCACTTGAATCAAACCGGCATTCAACAAGCACAGAACTCAAAGACAGTATTTGAAAACGTTCCAATGTTATTCAATCAGAAATTATAAACCTCTTATTTCAGTTTGAATTGTGAAATTTATATATATTCATAAAGAGAATTCCTTTGATTATTATTGTATTTGAGAGTCGATTATGTATTGTATTTATAAGTATTTATTTACTGAGTCTATATTTATTTTAATTTTTGGTTAAGAGACAGTTGTTTTTCAGCTTTAATAAATAATTTTACCCTCTGCTGCAGTACATGGAATAACAAATAATCTCACCAACAGTGTAGTCCAGATTCAGGTTCTTCAGAGAGTGGTTGTTGAGTCAGAATTGGGTCACATGTAAAAGGTTTGTTTTGCACTTTTGTTATGTCTATACATGTATTTTAAAATATATGCTGGTTTTTATTATTATGCATATTTATTTTTTGCATTATTTGATCTGATGTCTATATAATTATTACGCGAAATAGTTATTCACTATACTTTTTACTACGTCATGCATATTTTTTTACAATTTATATCATTTAGTAGATCAACTTGATCGATATACACCCCAATGATTTATCATATATACTGTAAAATGACTAATTTTCACTGGGTTTAAATTTCACTGATTTACCATTTCAGGCATATTCAGTGGGTTTTAAATTCACGGTTTCGTCATTTAGATAATGTGTTCTTTGCTAAATTTTACATATTCACTGTGTTTTAATTTAGCACATTTTTCCAGTCAGCGAAATAAGCTAAATTAAAACACAGTGAATAATTACCCCCTTTACAGTAATATGGTTTTGTATTAAACAAGAGTGGTAATTTTCACATGTTCCGAGTCTATTTATCACATGTAAGCATTTTCAGCTGTTTTGCCAGCGAAAACTGGAGTAACATTTGAATGCAAACAAACAATTTGTTTTATGCTTATGAGTTCCATGTCAAACACAGTGCGACAACCCCCCCCCCCCCAGACAGTTGGGTCATTCCAGTTTTTGTCCACACACCCCCTACAGATGGATATTAAGGTTATGACAAATCCACCAGTCAGGTGTTGGATTGTTATGTAAACTAACACACCCCCCCTGGAAACTTTACTGATTTGACGTATACGAATGGGTATGTGAAAAAATTAAATATATCGAAAATATGACACCTCTCGGAATTAAACCATCCATACTTTTTGTCGAAATAGGAACCCTCGAATTTAAACCATTCGTAGGAGGTGGTAGACAAAAACTGGAATGGCCCTACAGTATAGACATCACGAAAATAAACATTTCGCCGATGTTCAGAAAATTTCATTCTAAATAGTTGGAGCATATTAGAATAATCAGTGATAGTTGGGCCACCATAGAGTTCTGGAAACACAGTCAGAAGGTAATATTCAGTATTGTAAACTGGAGATTACTGAAGTTGAACTTTGAACTGAAATCCAATTACACGAGTAAATAACATTATACAATTTAAATCCCAATTCCGTAATTTGATCAGCGTTTCATCGCAGTACTAAGATCGGACAGACGCAACGCGTCATAGTACTTACCAAACATCAAGTTCGTCGGATCAAAATATCGCAGCTAATTAGAATTGGAGCTAAATATTTGAACTACAGGGAATTCATGTCGTGGCATTCACTCAGATGTCAGGTGACCACAAGTCAAAGGTTAAGGCTATCACAGTTAATCACATGATTCTGATATGAGGTCATCGGTTGAGGATTTCCACACGCTGGTGACTAAAGCATGACGAATCCAAAGAAATTTACCTGCCTAAACACGGAGACACAAATGCCGTTGATCGGATGTGAGTATTAATTAAGAGATGGAATATGTAATTACTTCAAATGTAACGTATATTGATTACGTCCGCTAACGGGTAATAGCATGTGACTGAGCACTGTCAACTACCAACTTACTTGTATAAGTTGCAAGTTGTAGAGATTAGGACTATTTATGTTATGATTTTTGTGTCGTTCTCTCCCCGGGGTGGGTATGGGTTGGGTATGTTTGAGTACCGGGTGTTGGCCACAGGGGCTGTTGGTTGGCTACTTGTCTGTCATGGAGATAGTCGTGGTTTATATTGTCCATTGTCCATGTTCATTACAAAGGGAATAATGTAAAGTTATTAATTAGCCATATGAAAATTTGTGCTTACAACTTTTTCTAGGGGATTTGGATTATAACACGATCTAAATCCAACGTGTTAAGCCTATAAACGTTCTATTGTTTTTAGTGCCAAACCCCTTTGTTAAGTACAACAACAAATATTTCATTGGTGTTTATAAGCTCTTGTGTGATTGGTCAATTCCTGGACAGCTCTTCCACTTCTGTGTTTTACTCCCTATTAATTTGGGCCCTGTTTAACTCCGGGGTTACCGGTATGTCCAAACGCCACCCTCTTGACTGGAGATCTGTGTTGAAAAACAAACATTTGTTGTTGCGGTGTACGCAAGACGATGAACAACTTATGTTTTTAACATCACTTCACCTATTAACAATTCACCCCTAAACGTAATAATTTCATTTCAATAATAAAAATCCGTTCTCAAAAATCCAAATAATCACAACCTCACCGAAATCCATTTTCTATTCTCACCCACAAGCCACACCCAGACCATTCCTCAAAACGAGTGGTCTGGGTTATACTAGTACTCTGACCCATGCCGAGGACTTCCTGTTTGTAATGCAATATGACAAATCAGATTAACTACCACGTGAAACCAAATGAAAATCATTATAAAATAACGTACATGTACCCAATTGATTCTGGATTCATTGACCAGGGAGAAAGAAATTACATTTCCAATAATAATCGATGAGCACGTTCGGGTAGTAACATTCGGTTGATGAAATAGACGATACAACAGTACTGATTGGACCTACATGAATGCTAATCGATTTCACATAACCAAATGCCCTAAGGAGTTAGCATTGCCTGTATCACGTAAATGTCTCGATAATCATATTGTTGAAACGAGGTAGCAGCCCTGGATTCAAACGGAACACAGTCTCGCTTTATTAGCTTGTTGTGGAACTTTCACATAACAAGAGGTCATAGTTCAGGCTGCGTTCGCGAACAAAACAAAGTATGATGGTTTGGAAGTGTCGGTCAAAATTAAATAATGGTTAACACTCGTTGAATCCTCAAACTTTAGCACTAAAACAACCATTTCGATGTGCCAGTGCTAGTGTTCAGTGTTTGAACAAGGGGTCAGTGTTTTTAATAAGCAAGTGAGAAAAGAAAGGGATAAAACACAGTCGTTTTCCGGTCAGAAATTAAGCGATATGCTGTTGATTAAAATGCGATAAAAGTGAAATATTCGGCGAAATGAGTATTGATGCCCATTTATAGCTTGACATGCGTCACCAAAAGAGGACATGGTTAGAGTTGGTAGTACTAGTATACGCGAGGAGGGAGTCCAGAGAGGGAACAGCCAGCATCCCTTCTACAGGGAAAATGTGAAATCTCAACAGATTTGTTTCGTTCTCACATGTAATATTAGGTTTTGAGGGCTTCTGAGTTAAAAAAAAAAAAAGAAGACTATATCAACCAAAAAGCATGCGTTTAGAGACATACCTATGCAGAAGTTGGTTTGCCAGTACTTAATCCATTTTTAACACCCAGGCTACTCTATTGACATTGATTGTTTATTTCATGGATTTGGCACTTGAGGTGGATGATAAGCAGTGCACAAAACGACCATTTTGTGCACGTTTTTGACACGGATTAAAAACAGTTCTAAGCACAAATTTTCATATGGCACAGTCATTTGTAAACCGAGTAGTGCATTTTGATCATTTTCATACTAAATACAGTGGAGGACAGAAACCTGTAGTCATTTTATAAATTAAAATAGATGTCAATACATGGTACAGTGAAAGTCATAAAGCTGGGGATTCTCTAAGACAAGCCTACGTCACAAACTGGTCAAAATCCCCCAAACATTGCCAGCAACCAATCACAGACTAGCTTAAACAATAGCTTTCCCTGACGATAATACTTAGCAACGTTATTTCCCCCACGCTAACTTGAAAAATCTTTTGTTTTTGTCTTGTTTCCGTTTCCGGTCTGTCTTAGAGAATGTTGTAAATGTTTTACAAATATAAATCCATAAACGATTTGGCTGTTCCAATTAATATTAATGAGAAAGTTCAACATCATCCAATCTGCAAACTCTTCATTTTGAATACTAGTAAGTGTGCGTGAAGGTGTGCGACTGTATTACGGGCGTAGACAATGTTTAGCTCTTCATCCAGTCACTTTTAGATATATGGATTTGAATCAAAGCTAAGGATTGATATTTAGAATTTTTTTTTAAATATGTTTATAAGCTAAACGCCAGCTTTTTGTCCTTTTTGATGCTTACAAGTCTTTAATTTTATATTTTTTTAAAAGAAACAACTGAAAATAGCAAAAATGGGAAATATTGGAATGATCACAAAAAACAAACAATCGTCATTGAGTTGGAATTGAAAAAAATAGGCTACACAAGACTATCGAAAATTGGTTTCTTGCACGATTTGCTGGAAGGTGCGATACAAGTTGCATTCAATTGTGCGCATACCCTGTTCCATAAAAATTGGTCACATGATACGCAGATTGCAGCTCAGAAATATAATTAATAGCATCTTGCAAGTCTTTTTGTTCACTCATCAATGCTGCATTATGTCTTATGTTAGCCATTTTCATCTTTGTTTCATTTTTGAAAAAACAAGATTTGTAAGCAATTATTATAAAGTCACCTAATAATTCTGCTTCTCTACTGTAACAACCATGTACATGTACATATGTTGCCTATAAGAAGAATATACTCTATTTACTCAACATGTCCAGATAGAAATCCAGTTGAAATTTACATATTGTTTTTAAATTACAGTGGGAACGTACAAAATTAATCATGAAGATGATGTTTACAATGCATTAGACACAGCACTCGGTGTTGGATATAGATTGATAGGTAAAGCACATTTTTGGCAAATATCATCTTATTATTACATGTATAACTACTTTTTAATATTTCTATCGCAATTACCAGTACCCTGGATATGTTACTACATATGGTACTGTAAAAGGAAAGATATTCTGTGGATTTGATGTTGCATGAATATATTTTCAAGATTTTGAATTCACTGGTTTATTAAAGATACAGTACCGGTACATCCCATTGTTTATCTTTGCTTTTTCGCTGTATTTTATTCAGTGTATTTGGCTATCAGTGAGATAGCAAGAAAGAATGAAACCCAGCTGATAATTAAGCTCTATCAGAGGTACATTACTTGGGGTTTGCAACTACGGTGACATGATACCAAGATCCCGTTACAATCTCGCTCTCGCATAAGCGTTCCAACTCAGAAAAATGCGAATGCGCATGCCCGAGGTAACTAGGATACTGGGATGTCCAGGTGGATCAAAATAGCTGCCCACGATATGACGGATTACGAGAACTATATTTTCTGTACATTTTCGATGTATTACATTTTTCACTATGATAGTGACAAGAAAAGTTCTATTTTTTCATTACAAACCTTGAACATTGATATATATCATGTCAGAAGGTCGTAGCCTCAGTCTCGCTATCTACGAGATGAGACTTCAATAGGATCTTGACATGATGTCACCATACAGTACTATGCGAGTTGCAAACCCCAAGTAATGTACCTCTGGTCACATACAGTACACTACATAATATTACTAACAATCAACAATACCCTGGGTAAGGTACCGGTATATATGTTTACTTGCAGATACAGCAGCAGTGTATCAAAATGAAAACCTAATTGGTAATGCTTTAAAAACTTTATTACCCAAATATGGATTGAAAAGAGAAGATTTATTCATCATTAGTAAACTAGGTAAAAATGTTAACATACTGTACTCTTCTGACCAGTGTACTCAGCTTAACAAATTATGTTTTTAAAGGCTCTTAGTCATGCAAGCACCCACCTTGCAAAATTAGCCAAATGACAATTATTATGAGGAATATTGTGTTATTTTGAAAATAACAGAATGCTGTGCCGTACTGACATAATTTTCCTTGATTTTCTAAATATTCACATTTTGAGCATTTTGTACGACACATTGTGGAAGAGAATTACCAATGTTTGAATGAGATCTGTTGGCATTATTTTTGACATCAAAAAAAACTGGTGATATGCAATTTTTGAAAGGTAAACCGGGCATAAACAGGTCATGTCAAATTGTAGTTTACTCATTCACATCCCATTCACAATAGATACAATAAACAATGTCATTATTCAGAAAAGTAAAAATGATGACCAAGTTCCATGACTTGTTCAGTTTAAGAAGTTCCAGAAGTGGTGGACACTAAGTCAAGCATGAAACCTAAAATGAAAATCCTCAAAATTAGAATGTTGAGCATCAGATCAGTACGATACTGTAAACCATTATTTTTCACTGCAAGAAAATAAAGTTGACTTAAAAATCTAGAAGGTATTTTTCTGTGTTATGATGTAACGTTTTTGTGGTTTTTCACCGACAGGTCCAAAGGATCATGGTTCAGAATTGGCTTATAAGGCATGCCTAGAATCATTAGAAAAACTGCAATGTGATTATTTAGATTTGTATTTGATACACTGGCCAGGAAAACAAAAACTAAAATCAGAAGACCCGAGACATAAACAATATCGAAAGGAAAGTTGGTTTGAATTTGAAAAACTTTTCAGTGAAGGTAAAGTACCGGTAGTTGTTTTTTGTCTGGTCATGGTAGTCGCAATTAATTGAATGTACGGTACTGTAAAATGACTAGTTTTCACTGGGTTGAAATTTTGCTGATTTAGCATTTCAGGCATATTCAGTGGGTTTTAAATTCACAGTTTTATCATTTAGATAATGTGTTCTATGCTAAATTTTACATATTCACTGAGTTTTATTTTAGCTTCATTTACCAGTCAGCAAAATAAACAAAATTAAAACCCAGTGAATAATTAATCTTTTTACAGTAGTTTCAAATACAAGATGGCATGGAGATTAATAATTTGCTAAATGTGAGAAAACGATTTATATTATTGCTGTCACTTAACATGGGTATTTCATTATTTTGATTGGTTACATGTGTTTAATGGAAATAGTAAAATCCTATCCTCGGGGGCGGAGCTACGTCACAGACGTTCCATGTTGCTACGACGCGCACCACTGTACCATGCATTTCTATGGGCTTTGTGCGCGCTGCTGTGGAACGCCGGTTGAGCCGGTGAAAATTCGAGAAAACAATACAAACTCAACTTTGAAGTAATCCTGAACAATCAAATTTATATATGTTACACGCGTAGGGCTAATCTTGTTGCACTGTTCAGAAGAGTCTGAACAATCACCCCAAAGTACCGTTTTCTGCGAGTTTTGGGCCTTTGTTTTCACCGCCGCGGGTTGCCAGGCCATGAAAATGCCCGGATGTCCACCCCCGAGAATAAAAGAGCAAAGTATCATTAGTTTCACTATTTTTTCAGGTTTAGTAAAGAACATAGGGGTATCTAACTATAGTCTGAAGCAATTGGATGAAATGCTGTCATATTGTAAGAAATTACCTGCCGTCCTTCAAGTAAGTAAGATAGAACTTGTTTGTAGAACTGTCAGTAAGAAATGGCTTATATGGGTTGTCTTATTCATTTCAAAGGATGATATATCCCATAATTCCAACAGTATATTGACCAAATGTATGAATCAGGGGGTATGGAAGTGGTGTGATATACAATTAGAATCTCAGGTAAATTGAAGAAATAAATAATACCCTGGGTATTTCCTGGGTAGTTCCGCCGTTGCTTGAGCGCTTGGGTGTTAAAAGCGTTGTCCAATTTTGTCTGCGTAAGAGAGTGATTTTATCGCGTAAACATTTGATAGCTCATCAGAACACCAGAAACCAGGGAATAAATTGTCCACATCCAAGCTATGAATCACCCCCCCTCCCTCCTCTCGATTCTTGCACTGAAACCGTCTGATGTCGCTATAACTTGAAACTCTTCTATTGCGAGATGATCAATGCAAAACGAGTGTTTATGTGAAAGAAATGGTATGCTAATTTCTGGATGTGCGATCATGCTTATTCGAAAACATGTAATATACTTGTATGCATTTGTAAACATATCTCAATTACTTTGTTGTTTGTGCATTGTGCATTTCTAAGCAACCACTGCATTCTGTGATGCTATTGGTTAAAAAGCTTTTGATTAGTGTGCACATGAAACATGAGATCTTCATCCCATATATCACCATGGTGATATCAATTCACTGGGTTTTAATTTTGCTGACTGGAAAATACGCTAAATTAAAACCCCATGAATATGTAAAATTGAGCATTGAAAACATTATCTAAATGATAAAACTGTGAATTTAAAACCCAATGAATATGCCTGAAATAATAAATCAGCGAAATTTAAACCCAATGAAAATTAGTCATTTTACAGTAATATTTTTCATCACACTCATTTCAGAATACTCATGGATGTTGTTACCCCGGTATCTGTAAATATTTATAAATGTAGATTCAATTTAAAAATAAATAAATTGTGATTTGCCACAAGGATGCCCCTTTGTTCTGCCCTCTAAGTGGTAAACTGAATGCTGATTGCACAACGTTCAGATTCACAAGAGCTGTGATTGCATGGTCAGATTCACGAGAGCTGTGATTGGTCGACGTTCAGATTCACGATAGCTGTGATTGGTCAGACGATTTCCAAATATGGTTTTAAGTTTTAAAATGTTCTTAAAAGAATTATAAATTTTGTAAACCATGGGTAACCAAAAAATTGTCATTTTCAGGATCTAAGTTTACAAATCATGTCCTAATTTATTCTAATTACACATGACAGTAACTGTTGCCACTGAAAAAAAACAGAATATTACATTATCTTTAATAGTGAAATATATTTTCAAATTAAATCTATACAACATGAAAGTAATAACTTTTCTAACATTATAATGGTGTAAAAAACAATACCGCCACACACACACACCTGTATCATTTTTTTTTCATTGAGATTTATTCAAAATAGAAAATATAAGGATGACCAGAACAAAGGCATTCCCCCGGACAAAAACAAAACAAATAAAAAAAACCTAGCTAGAACTCATGTTCCCCCTTTGCTGCATTAGAAATGAGTGGCCATGTCAGCAGTTATATTTCACACTAAACATGCACACTAGACATGTGAAAATAGTGTGTACAATTCCTGACAAACAGAACCAAAAATCAATTTAAGTTCAATTTAATCAATTTAACGAATGCAGGTTCGTGGGCACTTGGGAGTGAAATTTTTTTTTTTTTTTGCTTTTTATTATCCAAACAGTTTTGGTTATAGACTGTTAAAATTTTGTAGAATTATGAATAGTGGAACATACTCAAAAAACGATTTTAAAATATAGATAACAGGTGCAAACATTCTCTCTTTTGAATGCTTAGCAAGATTTAGCAAGGCTGCACGTAAATAATCAAAACGAAACATGGTGAAAAAAAGTGAAAAAAAGAAATGACAGGATCTCCATAGTGTGCACTATATTTAACTTTTAACAAATCGATAATACATTTTTTAAATTTGGAACTGTTACAGCCATTTTAATTATGAGCATTAGCAAACTTCTTACTGAGTGAATTGTTATGCAAATTAACAATTATCTCAGCTTCTTTTTAGTGCATATCCCAGAACTTTGAAAAAAATAGCTCCTAGACGCTTTGACCTTTTGTTTTGAAATTTTCACAAATGATTGACAATGTGTTCAAATCTTCAAAACGCCGTTGGGACATTGTTTTTGATTGAACAGTGTTACAACAATCGTACAGACAACTAGCCTGGGTGTTAATTTATGCATAAACTTGAAGTAGTGAAATTTGAGCTGCTGCCCTGCAAAATTGACAACTGCTAGACAGTTTTCAAGACTGCACTTTCTTCATAGTAAACAGATGTACCCATAAACTAATTTTGACAGGAAACAGAAGCATGGTTTAGAAGCTAATTTTTTTTTAAATCACTTTTGACCAAAAAGCACATTTTTATGCATATTTCAAACTACAGTGTCCATATAAAAAAAAATACTAACAAAATTTTAAAATTCATACAATAAGCTTTCCGAAAATATATAGTTTTGTGGACAAGGGAGGTCATCTTGGTTTCCTAACTACATATATGTAACTAATGAAAATACCTGTCAGGTAAACTGCATCTCTATCTTAAAAATGAATTGCTCTTGTTTGAGGTAGATTGTTGAGAACAATTCAAATCCTAAATGGATAGTAACTGCATGTACATCAAGTTATTCATTACTTAGAAAAAAAACATGCATGTTGTAATGCCATTTCATCACAACATAATGCTGGGAATGTGATTGTGGGGATTGATGGGGAGTATAAGCCCAGTAGACTCTCTTTTCTGAGCCTTAGTCTGTAAAGGGGTTTTTAATTCAGTGACTAATTTAGAAGGTAGAAGCCTACTCATAGTATTTGAAATATTTAGTCCTCGTTCGTATGCAGTTCAAACTTGGTAGATACATTAGAGATTATGGGTTCCTGATGCACGTCATTTTATTTTTCAGATTGGATTCAAAATGGCTGACTGGCTGTCATTTTGTTTAAATGAATGCACTTCTAGAGCCATATCTCTCTTAGAGAAAAAGATCTGCTGCTCCAACAGAATGTCCACACAACTCATTCTAGGTCAAAAATAAGTGTTTGGTTTTCATTTTTTTTTTGCCACTGCATGCGCACAGCGCCCTCTATTGACAAATTGATTAAACCTGCAAAATATGTGTGCCATCAAATATTTTAGCAATAGAAGCCTGAGGTGCATTAAATTTTTTTATTTTCTGTTCTTGATTACTGTGAGTTGTGAAACAATAAATAAATTAAAATAAATAAATAAAATATAATATAATAATTTTCTGTCAGGTTGAATATCATCCTCACTTAGTGCAAGAAGATTTACTGAAATGGTGTACAGACCATAATGTTCATTTACAAGCTTATCGATCACTTGGAATATCGGAGGTGAGTGTGTTGCAAGTATTCACAGTGAAACATGAGAATTCAGTAAATTAGAAGTGTAATTTGTTGTCAAAATTATCAGTATGTGTGTGCATGGTTTGCTTTAAAGTTGTATTGTCAGTGAAATTTAGTGTGAAGCCTTTTTAAGTAATATGTTTACTGTTATAAATGTACTAGCTATGGTAAACAGCTGAACATCACCTAGTAGTTTTGTAGCGTTGAATGTGATTAGGTTCTTTGTTAGATAATCAAAAATTCACCAAATCAATATTCTATGTGAAGCATTTATCGTAGTATGTATGCAAATAATACTTGAGTTGTTTCTTGAATGGCAATCGAATCCTCTTATTTGAATTCATTAGATGAATAATTTACTTAATGTTACCACAGCATCGGAGTGAACATTACAAACTTCTCGCGTTTGTTGCATTTAGTGCACTCCTGAAGCAGAATTTCGTCAGGATTCATTATGAAGACAATAAATAACTTAAAATGCCAATAAATGGCATCAGGTTTCAATCAGTATAACTTGTGAACGCCATAACTTTCAGATTAGATATTTGACCAATTTTATACTCAAAATCGTTATAACTTACCATAGAATTGGGTAAAATTGTCTGTCATTCCAGCATCAATTAAATAAAAATATCAAAGTTGGCTTCAAATAATTTCATTTCTTCTTCATTTGCAGCTACTTACGGATCCTTTAGTGACCAAGATGGCTAAAATGTATGGGAAAAAAGAATCGCATGTCCTTCTGAAGTGGGCTTTGCAGCAGAATATCAGTAAGCATGTTGGTTTGCAATAAACTATCGAATGTAAATAATACTCATCAGGTGGTGGTCAGTAAGCTTTTCTCAAACGATCATTAATTGCATCTCCATTGTACATATTTTTTTTCCCCTCAGGTGTTATACCAAAGTCTACTAACAAAGACCATTTGGAAGAAAATTTCAATGTTTGGGATTTTGAACTGACAGAAGATGATATTTTGGAACTGAAAAAACTTAATAGAAACGCACGATACTGTTGGGATCCGTCTCCTGTTGTGTAAACACTACAATGATGTCATCTTGTTGTATTAATTAAATAAACATGGGGTTTTTAATTGATGTATTGGTGATAAATTAGAATAATCTGTGAATATTGATCAGAATTTCAGGCAATTTAACAAGAATGTGACTCCTATTGAACAGTATATGTAATCATGATGTCCTCCCCTTTAGTGTGTGAACAAAGACACTAGAAAGAACATCGACATAATGTAAATTTTATTCATATCATCACGCAGACACAGCAATGAATCGATACGACATTGTATCTCTGTTATCTGAGATTGTGTATTAAGTACAATATAAAAATAGAGCAAATCAGAAAGCACCATATAAATACATTGAATGGACGGCGTCTTAAGTACACTAAAACAGTGACATGTCAATTTTACAATTCTTTATACAATTACAATAATCATTAACTAAGTACAGTATACAAAATGTGGTTTTGATGTAATATTTTGTGTGTAAATACAATGACATTCTAGTTTTTCAAATGCTTGCATATGGCTTGTTGATTACCAAATTAATTCTATTAAAGTAATGTGAATTTCTAGATTCCTGGACGTGGCATCACAACGAATGATGAAGCTACCAGCACAAGGCCACAGTGGACTTGGAGCCAATAGTACCGGTATGCTGCAATGTTACTTGGCTTGAAGTAAAGCGGGAACACAAGGGAAGAAAACCATATTATTGTCAGTCATATTTTTAAGTTTGTGTGTATACCAGTAGATTTTATCCTCTTTGTGAGAAATAGAAAACATTAAGTATAATGCAGTTTAATAAAGCTTTCAGTTTTAAATCATGATAGGATACAAACAAAACAAAATTGATTTTTAACCTAATAATCGGCCAAAAGATCAATAATACAAAATTTATGGTAGTTCATCAATAATACCGGTACCATATTTGGGAACACATTTAAATTTCCTGACCCTACAGATAATTAAAGATACAAATATTACCATATTTGGTAATTCATTTACATTTCTTGACCCCACAGATCATTAAGAATACAAATAATACCATATTTGGTAATTCATTTACATTTCTTGACCCCACAGATCATTAAGAATACAAATAATACCATATTTGGTAATTCATTTACATTTCTTGACCCCACAGATCATTAAGAAAACAAATAATACCATATTTGGTAACTCGTTTACATTTACTGGCGCTATAGATTAGTAAAAACCATACCATTACATCACATCACATGACTTCAAGGGATCAGAAAAAACACCAAATTTGTTGAGTGGACTTTTTTTCTGATGAAATTGAATTCCAAAAATAGCATATTTTATTAGAAGCATGAATGCTGAATTATGAAAGATGAAATCGGATGGGTAGGATAACATTTAACAAAGGCCAACATTTTCAGCTTTAGTACATTTTTATTTGAGCTGAGCTTCAGAAGCGTGTCATCTATCATCTTGATAATCATGGGAGTTGCACTGCATAGGAGCACAAAAGATGATTTTCGATTTCATGTCAAAAGACTGGCAGCATGACTCAGCAAGATACTGCAAGTCAGACTTGCACATGAGTTCACATCACTCTGTAGTGGGTCTTCAATCCAGATAGAATCTTGTCCTCGGTGTTTTCTCGTACCTTGCACTTGGCGACATATCATAATAACCGCTTTCTCGCAATACACTTTCAATTATTGACAACATGTGTTCGTAAGTGATACCGACATCAAGGTCACTAGCGTCCATACCTATAATGATAATGTCAGTTGTCACGGTTACTGAGCACAGAGCCTATTTTCTATTAACGGTACAATGACAGAATAATCTGAAACATTTTACTTTTGCTATCAATTTCAAGCAATTTTTAATTTGTTTTTACAGGTACATTCAAAATAATTACGATATGATTGCCTTCTCACAGAATATTAATACTGCATATTAATCAATACTGTACCTGTTTCTTCATCATCAAACTTGCCATGTTTCAGTAAATATGTAGTTTCTCCAACACCAAAGTTTAAATCTATTACTTCTCGTGAACCAATCATCAACTAAAATTGAATAACAAAACTAAGAGTAAAAAAAACTATAATCATTGAAGAAAATTATTATCAAGGCACAAATGAACAAATTATCTCTGGATATTGAGATAACTGTTGGTGAAAATCCCAATTTAAGAATAGTTGCCTTAAAAGCCCTCTGAAATAGAAGTTTTAATTGTATGTATTTTAACCAATTTTCAATTCAAAATGGCTGCCAGAGTTTGGGTACACTTTTTTTTATTTTCTTTTTCACATATTTATTAACTGGTACCTTTTGCTTCATAAAATTTCTTTTATTAATTATTTTTTTTTACCAGTAAGTCACGTCCATTCTAATCTCAAAATGAACATGTAATAGAAACTAAATAATGAGGTATGTCCGGACACCTCAAAAGCATATCTGAGGGTGAGGTAGTTGTACAAGCACATAGAAGCCACAACACTGATGTGTGTATGATCTGAAGGCACGCAGATATCATGGAAGTCAAGTTTGCATGGGAGAGACCTATAAATAAATGAAACAAAACATAGAGGCTGATCCATTCCAAATAAAACAAGTAAGTATGCTAAATACACATCCAGGGTCCATAGCACTTGGAAAATCCTTTGAAAGTCTTTGGATTTTTTTGAGGTCTTTAAATTACAGTAAAAATAAAAAAATCTTTGAAAAGTCTTTAAATTTCTTCATAGTTCATTTTAGAAAGGCCCATTTTCTCCATATCCTTAGAACTTTGATGAGCTTTGGTGATGATGTTGGCCTGAATTAAGGGTCAAAATGTCTTTGAAAAATGCAAGAAAGCTTGGGAAAAGGTCCGGAAAAGTCTTGGAAATCATTTGGCTCGTGCTTGGTGCTATGGAACCTGACATCACACTACACTGTAAATATCTATACACCAAAACTTACTTTTTTCAGCTCACTCTTCAAATTAGATGAACTGCTTTGCTGAGCAAATAAAGCTCTTTTAAATCGTTCAATGACTCGTCTCTTTGGATTCTGGGCCAACGTCGGAGGCAGTTGTGTAACAAATATAATTTTATGTAGTTGATTCAACATTTGCATGATTGGATCGTTGATTTGTCTTACTTTTCTTGGTGATATCGTTAACGTAGCGGTTGCAGAAGCTGAAATGAAAGTAAAATCGATTATTATCGAAAGAACACTTCAATGTGAACTTTAGCTTCTTATGCTGTTACAACCTCATATCAACTACCCTGGTATTTGGTTTAAATTCACCCACAAGCCATGCAAGAATAGTCTTATACATATTTGAAAACAGACCGGTGACATGTTATTTTTCTTTTTTTGAGGTAAATTGAAATATTCCTGAATAAAGTACTGATATCTAGTACCGGTAAAAGCACAACTCCTATAGTAGCGCACATAACCCCAAAAAATGCAATTATTATTCGAGATCATTAAAAAAATCAGACTTGTTTTTGATCGCTCACAAATCTCTGTTATTTATGTATTCTAAGTACTTGCAATACTAATACCCTTCGGTAGTCTAGATACAGAAATTTGTTTCACCCAAAGGCACTGTTAAATCTATTTTTGCCATCGAACTGTCTGTTGCAGATGACTGGTTACCGAATCAACATAATTACAGTTGCTAATCATCGAGTTGCTGAAATGGCAATATTTCGAGGCATTTTAATTTTTAATCTAGCATAATTGTTCAATAGACTACCAGTTGCCATCATGAGTGCATCAACTCAAACAAGTTGTTTGGTTCTCTCAGATTAGTTCATTTCGAGACAATGTAAACACCTACTTTTTGATGAGACTTTTGGTCAAAACTAATTTGTTATCATCGGTGGTTTGATTTCTTACAATATTAAAACTCATGTAGGTAGTTCTGAATGCATAGCTTAGTTCCTTTTTTGAAATCTATGGCTTCTCTAATGATTAGTCAATGGGAAAATTTTTTACAGAATAAAAATGGTTATTTTGATCAGTAGTATGAGTAACCCTGCGAAACTTTAATAATATTGAAAATTATTTGGAATAGGACAATACTACCAGAAAGTGCCAGGATGTGTGACCTTTAGGGGGTCATGCATGAGGTCTATTTGTCAGTAAATATTCGACCATGTTAGTATCATTAAGCATACCTTGAGATATTCTCATAATAATCACACTAATGTACAGTAATATGGCGGGTATCAATGCACTACAATATATGATGCTTTTTAGGAAATAAAGGACAATGCAATTCATAGGCTAGGATGGGAGCATGTCATTTTTTTTTTACTGTTGTGCATGGTATTATATCATGCAGCATCAGAAATAGACGCCTACCTGATCCAGCTCCTGCATACAAAATAAAACATCAATGTGAAACAGATTTTTTAATCAGTGAACAATGCATGTTTAGATAAATTAAATTTACAAGAAATTGGGTAAGCTGAAAGCTAAATTCAAGACCTGCAAACTTGTTTAGAGATATGTATTCACACCACAGGGTTTCATCTACTAAAGTATATACTGTGAAATACTTTATTTTAGCTGGAATTAATTTTCGCTGAAAAGACTTTTTGGATGTTTTGTATGGAATTCATTTTCACTAAAGTTGAATGTAAAATATAGGAAAAATGGTATATTCGCTGGATTTTATTTTCACTGAATCATTTCTCCAGCGAAAATAGATTATCTTACAGTATATGAACAACCTTGATGCACCCAATGCAACCAAGTGCAGGTACATGTAATCTACTTACGTGGTCTGTTTCTGAGTTGTGAACTCTGTCCACCACGTCTTAATGCCATTTCAACTAATGAACTACTCTGTGATCGAAGTAACCCAGTTCTCTCTGATGATACAGGTGGTGTTGCTGATGAGACTTCATTTGGTGATGGGGAGCCTGAACTGCAGGCTGATTTACTATGGTTAACTGCAAATTACAAAATAACCATTATAAGAGGGTTGGTGATGATAAGCAAGTAGAACCAGACATTTCTGAAAATTGCTATCATAATCTTTCTAATAGAACTGTAAAATCTGTATTAGAAGCCGCGGTTTCTATTAAAATAGTACAATACAACAGATGGGATGCGGTTTCTATTACAGCATCTACACATACGAGAAATGGTGAATTTTCGGGTCTAAATTGTTCAAAAAGAATGTGTGCGACTTCTATTAGGGATGCGGCTTCTAATAAAGATTTAACAGTAGTACATTTTTACAATTGTTGTGACTGAAGGTGGTTGCAAGGGACAATGTTTGTTACTATTTGCCGATCAGTACGTCCATCAAAAACATGTCATATACAGATTAGAACTAGTTCTTGATCTACGGTTCACTTTGCCCAGATATTGTTTCATTAACTGTATGTATATATCCAATAACAGCAGTCAGACTTCAATGCCTTTATGCAAAAAGAAGTGATTTTTGCCAACTAGTCACAATATATAAATAAGTGCATCCTCGTACAAGATCTAACCATCAATCATAGAATAAAAACATAGCTGTATACGAATCTAACCTGTGGGTATATCCAATGTCAGTGAACCTTTGCCACTAGGTGGCCTTGGTGTGATTCGATGACTATCAAAACTAATACCTGAAATTGAAAGTTAATTGACAATATAAATACTTAATCAAACTTGGATGAAACTATCAAAACCACTATGAAATAAATCCTTTTTCAAATAGTGTGACCAACGGCCGTTGGTTTCTATGGAGACGATTGTAGAGAAAGAGTCACAAGAGGGTGAAGATCAATAGATGCCTGCAGAAGTCTCACCTAAAGACGTACTATTGCCACTATTCTCCAGACTGCTTGTACCACCATCAGTTTTGTAACCAGTATCATCTTCTTCGGCCCCACTAAATACATCTAAAAATATAAATCAGATATTTATTCCATAACTGGAAGTAAAAACGTATCCAAGCACATTCCAATGACATACAACAGTGTGAATGATATAAATCAGCAAGTAGAATTTATCATGAACATTTTTTCCAATCATGTTCTTTGGCGTACATTATCTCAAACTAAATCTGGTCAATTAGCTCCACAAATCATATTTGTTTAAACAGCAACCAATCATAACTTGTGTAACAGACCACGCTTAAGTAACGTACACTCTAATTGGTTGAAACATCTGATCAGAAAAAGGGTACTCAAACTCAATTTGCCTATAATCATTTGATAAGATGTACACCTATGGCAGTACATTGAAAGAACTCAGGGTCTTCCTACATCACATTGGAATTTAAATACCCATCACATGGCACAGTACATTACCTTTTTCAGGTTCCAGTGTTATGGGAACAGCATGACAATTCTCTATCAATCTATGTTTATTTATTGTCTTCAGTTCAGCATTGGATTCATGCTCACAACCATCAAACACATTGTCACTGTAAATACAAAAGGCAGAATACATGTATATGTATTAAGCATCAAAAACCATGGATCAAAACTATACTGTAAATTCTGTATTAGAAACCGCAGCTTCTATTAAAATGGTACAATACAACAGAGGGGATGTGGCTTCTATTAGAGCATCTACACATATAAGAAATGATGAATTTTTGGTTCTCAATTGTTCAAAAAGAATGGGTGCGACTTCTATTAGGGATGCGGCTTCTAATACAGATTTTACGGTACTGTCAATGTCCAGAGCTACCCATCTGACCTGTAACTATTGAGGGTTTTTCTCTAATTTTCGTTTTTTAATAAAACATTTCCTGTGTTATCATTGCTAATTTGTAATATAAGGTTATTACAAAGATACCTCAAAGTATGCACGAAGACAGTACAGCGGCAGTATCGACCGACGCGCGGAGGTCGATGCGACAGCGTACTGTCTCCGTGCATACTTTGAGGTATCTTCGTAATAATCTTATTATTATTATACATCTTTTCCCTTCAAGGATACATCATGAAAATTCTGAAATCCAAAAAGTTTAGAACAGAATCAGCGAACTTCTTTGTATGGAGTCCGGTCAAATCCTGGTGGTAGCCATGTTTGTTTTTATTTTTAGAGGACGCTTACGTGCGTAATCATTCCATATTTGGAATTCGTATTTCCAAATATGGTAGTATGAAAATACCCTGTAAAATACCGCAAAATTATGACAAGCTGTAACTTATGGCGTTACATTGACAGGTGTATAATAATGACCATTACTAAAATGTGGACATATACACTATATAACGACATTGTACATAAAATCTCTTGCAGGTGAAAAAAGATGGCAGCGGGGTTGCGTCTAGTCCATACAAGATCACATCACGAAAAAAAAATGTGCATTTGCAAGCCAAGATGCATCATGCTTGTCTGAGAAAAGTTTCATTGTCTGAATAGAATAAAACCATAAACCAGCAATATTGCAGGTTCTATGTGGAAACAGAGAAAAAAATAGCAGGAAGGTTTATATAATAATTCAATTGAATCACAAGGCAAACAAAATGATGTATGATATATAAAGTTTGATTGAAAATGTTAGAGGAAAGGCTATGTCATGGATATATGGAAGTAAAGCTGAGAATATTTCCTAGATTTGTGTGAATATAATGTACCTCATATCGGAGTCACTTCTGATACTTGCAGCACCACCACTACTACTGGCTAACAGTTTGTCATAGCGTTCTTGAGATGCTAAAAACAATCGATGATAATTCTGCATATTGTGAGTGGCTTCATTGAAATGCCTACAACAGAAAAAAATAGTAGATACAGTCAGACATTTTGTAATGGGTAATGAACGTCATTCCTCCTCTATATGAATATTAAGACATGTGGTTCTATCAATGTTGTACACATATTGACCGAGATACTAATATAAAAATAGATGATCCTGTTGTTCTATTTATGTTTGGTATTTTCACTGATACTATAGTAACAAATTTTTAATAGCAATTCACCATCATTGATTTGAATCTCATTCCAACTCTGCCAAAATACAAATCAGACAATGCATTCCAGCAAATGAGATTGAATAGACTGACAAACAAATGGAGGGTTGAAAGTAACCAAAAGTCTGAAAGACGGCTAAAAGCAATAGCAGTATTGCTGTACTTACCTCTGTGTCCTTTTCCTTTCCCTGTCTAGCTTCTTTTCCATACTGATCTGATTTAATCTTAGTTTGTCCATGTATATAAGTAAAATATCAGATATGGCACCAGCTACTTGTACAATGTCTGGACGATCATCAGGATCTGGTGTTAAACACCTATAAATAAACACCATATCATAAAACCAAGTACGGAATACACATGTAGACTGTTTGAACGCTCTTCATGTACACCAACTGCTAAAGAGTGTTACATGTGACCATTTTTTTTGACAGACTGAAGCATTGATACTGCATTGTATATTGTTTTTGAATCCTGATGCCTTGCACATAAATTTCTATGAAACCCAAGCCCAGAGCTCAACCATACTGAGTTGACTCAAGAATGGCCTGGTGAATTGCTATGACTGATTGGCCATCTCCATGACTTACCCTGGTAAGTACAGTACCAGGAGTACTCGCGTGTGCTGGTAAGGCGTGTCCCACAACACTCAAGATTTTTCAAAGTCTGACGATTATGTTGTCTAATGAAAACCATAAACTTAGAAATGATGGCAAATAAGACCATTTTAATAATTTGTGTACAACATGCATCTCCGATGTTAATTTGTCCTCAGCTGTAATGATATTGTTTTCTATGTGATGATTGTTTATATAATCTATTATTTCCAAGTAATGACTGGGAAACACGACTACCCCCGGTACAATGTTTTTCAAATTCTGTAAATACAGATAAAGTTACTGCATAGGTTTTTTTTAAATTTAAATTTTTAACGTTACGGACATTGAATGTCACTGTTGTCTTTCCCGACTTTTTTTTGTATGTGCAAATTCCAAGTGCTAGTGCTGACACATAGTACATTTTTGCCACAGAAGTCACATTCATGTTTGGGCTACATGACAGGGCTGTGTGGCGATCTCTATCAAATGGCAATTTAATGGGCTATCCTGACGTCAACCAGGCTCAGTCGAACACAAGCACCTCGGACCTTAACCAAGGTTCCCCCAAAGTCACATTTGTTAGTGAATGAAGCTTGGTCAGTGGAATAGGCCTTCCCATTGAGTCTGTGGCACACTCACCCAGGGTAGGGGTCGACCCTTTGGTGTTCAGCTTAGAGTAAGATTTGAACTTGGGTCTACCGATCATGAGTCTGATGCGACAACCACTATGCCACCAGTGACCGGTTACTGCATAGGTTAAATGATTGATTAACTGAGGATCCTGTTATGAAAATTGTGAATACACACGTGTCCAAAACTCTGCAGTAAACATGAACTCAGGAAATAAAGAGATGCGATTTAAAAATGAATGCAAGAAAATGAATGAAAGTGCACCAGCAGATATTTCTTTAACCATTATTGTTTATCCAAAGATCAAGTACTAAAAGCAGAGGATGTAGATGGTTATCATTTACTGACAATCAAGTGATTATTCATAACTTGAAACAACACTAACGAAGAAAACTAAATTACACATTACCTTTTTATTGTTTCAGGAATCCTATTTGAATACTTCTCAATGGGTAAGGGATCGTACTTTGCTTCCACAATCTAAAATCAGAAAATCAAGAATTGACAACATAAATTGAAAAGTATAAAAAAAATAGCACATCAATGCAAAGATGCACAAATTCAATTTGTATACATATTAGTGAAGCGCAACAACAAAACGATAAAACCATAAAAATGAACTCTTCTTCCTTAGTACCGGTATGTTATACATACAAAAACACATTAATTAATATGGTGGAATACATAAATACATAGAAAATAGATAATTTATTGGCATAGAGGACTAACCTTAGTGGCTAATGAAAGCATATTAGAACTATAGAATGGAGGTGCCAAGGCAGACATTTGATATAATATGCATCCTATTGACCATACATCTGCTTTCTCACCATATGGTATACTCTGCACAATTTCTGGACTAAAAATCAAATAACATTTTGTATTATTATACATTTGTCACCGCAACGCCACAAGTTACAGTGTGCCGTAATTTTGTGGTATTTTACGGGGTATTTTCATCCTACCCTATTATAAAATGTGAATTCCATATATGGAATGATTACGTGGGTAAGCGCCCTCTAAGTAATAATAAAAAAAAAAACATGGCTTCCACCAGAGTTTGACCGGACTCAACACAAAGAACTTTGTTGATTTTGCATTCCCATGGTGTATCCATGGAAGGAAAAGATGTATAATAATAAGATTATTACAAGGATACCCCAAAGTATGCACTCAGACAGTACATCTCGCATCGACCTCCGCTGCGCTTTGGTCGATACTCCAGCTGTACTGTCTTCGTGCGTACTTTGAGGTATTCTCGTAATAACCTCATATTATCATCAATAACAACCTCCACTCCCTGTTTTTGTAATCTTCTTACAATTCAAGTTATAATTGGTCTAGGTATAACAGTAAAGACAACTGTTTAAATGTCTTGTTCAAATTATTGTATGATTTAAAGTAAAAATAATATTAATCTGCTTTGGATTTCATTGATAACCACAATACTGTAATGCTAAGTAACATACAGTAAAATGTGGTATTAGTGGGAAATTTTAATACTCTGTGAATCTGTTGAAAAACACTCATCTACCATTCTCTAATAAGTACTATGTTTATGAACCCAACAGTTTACGTTTTGATATTTAATTTCAACCAATTGTATTTTCTAATATTACATGAATTTATTTCATGATGATAACATTGTGTGCTTACCATGAATACAGTATGGTACCCACCACTGATGTCATTTTACTACAGTCTTGTTGCTTTACACGGGCAAGACCAAAGTCAGCTAAAAAAAAAAAAAACAGAAGATGATAGGTATTTGTTATACTGTAGTATAAAATCCAAACATGACAAAATTATAATTTTTTTTAACACATTGCTAAATTTCTTGTGTATTTTTCTGCTATGATGTATAGTATGAGTACCAGAATAAAATGGCCATTGTCAAAATAGCCAACGGTCATTTATTTGAATTGTATCCTAAAACAAACAATTAGTTGTCATGCTCAGAGAAGGATGTTTTGTACAACCAGCAATACCAAATAAAATAGCTAAACTTATAGTTACTGTTAACATAGAAAGTGGAACACAGAACTAACAATGCAAATCCTGCCTTGCTAGTTTGTGATAGCTCTACACACTCGTTAGGTTTTGCACGCATCTGTATGCGCAATGACTTGTTGCATGATAAAAACTGTTCATTCACACTCAAAGATAAAAATAACGGCCCTGTTTTCTGTCGCTGTTATTAAATATACATGTATCATATTTGTTCCTTCACTAGTAAATGCGCTGAAATAAATTACAATGGTGTTTATATGGTCGAAATATTTAAAATATTTAATTTAAAGTCAGTTTAAATGAATTAATGTTTCAGTATATACCAAATGGGATTTTTGAATTTATATGCACTTTTATCTGAGATGTGCTTTTAGTATATAAGAACAAATAAAGTATGTTAATAAATCAACCTACACAGCAAATCACAAGTTAGTCATGATTGTCAAAAACAATCATATCAGCCTATAGACATGATTTACCATATATAGGCATGGAGTACCAAGTGATTAATATCCGATACTTACTGATTGTTACTTTGTCATTCTCTCCGAGCATAATATTATTAGGACTTAAATCTCTGTGTACAATTCTCTTTTCTTTATGTAAATACCTGAGAGCTAAGACAATCTGCAAAAAAACAAGTATATTGAGTTGATGTGGGGAAGCACCACACATGGTGTTATTCTTAAAGTAATATGACAGGTAATGATGATAATGATGTCATAAAAAGCAACCACAGTATCCGTGGATTTGAGATTACCGAAGATAACATTCCAACATGCTGTGCATTCTCTAAATGTACTCAGTTGTAGTGGTTTTGTGTGCAAGAAAAACAAAAAAAACCTATTATTGAGTCACCTGAATAAATATATTCCAAATTCTATCTTCTGTAAAGTTTTCATTTTTTTCTTTTAACGAATTAAAATGTTCAGTTAATGGTGCCCCCTCAATGAACTCCATCACAATAAATAATTTATCACCTGAAATAAGAACACAATGAAACGTGTTATAGGTTAAACAAGGACATTACATGGTGAGCATAAGCTAGGAGGTGATTTGGTTTGACTAGAACATACATGTAGCTAGAGGGTCTTCTGGATAAATGGACAAGCAGATATGTTAGAGGGTTTGGTTTGACAAGAACATAGTTAGGTGGTATTCCCGTACATATACATAGGGGGGGGGGGGGGTTCACAAGAACACACCAAAAGGGTGATTTAGTTTTATTAGAACACACCTAGGAGGTAGTTTGGTTTGACAAGAACATGCCTAGGGAGTGATTTTGTTTAATAGGAAAATACCTAGGGGGTGATTTTGATCACGAGGACATAGCCTAATTCAGAATTAGTCGTAAAGTAAGGGAGTTTTTAGCAATAAAAATACGACAATAAAATTCATCAGATAACTTGTTTACTCACATTCATTAAAAGTTTTGTAATATCTAACTACATTTGGATGTTTCAAGCCTTCTTTAATAATAGGAAGTTCACTGACAATTCGTCCCACACTGACGTCTCTTTCCTTGGCTGTTTTACCAATGGCAGGATTCAACAAAGATATTTCTTTCATCGCTAAGAATTGTCCACTCATTTTTTTTTTAACCTAAAATGAAAGGAAATGTTTTACAATTTTTAAGTAAAGGGGTAGTTCACAAAGGAGTATATTATGGGATGGGAACTGTGCATATATACGGTATATTCAATACATACAAAGGCTTAGAGACAACATCAAAAGTTCAATGTAGGATAAAAAACTTAATTCCTTCGCTGAAAGGACGATTCCGTGAAAATAAAATCCAGCGAATATACTTTTTTTTCCTATATTTCACATTAAACTCATCAAAAATCAGTGAAAATAAATTCTATACAAAATGCCCAAAAAGCCTTTTCAGCGAAAATAAAGTATTCCACAGTAATTGATAAATATTGATCATGGGGTCAGACACATTCACCATTAAATACAAATTGATAATCGGACAGTAGTATGGCATAGCAGTTGGTTGTCGGATGGGTGTAAAAATACTTTTCAAATGCGCCAATAACAAAGAAAAACAAGCTTTATTTGTACCTTTCTTTTAAGAAGTACATTTAATTTACAAAGGTAGGTAGTACAATGAAATCGTCATTACACATTGCACATATTTACACTCGGACCAAAGCATTTTCTCGTCTTGGATGTTTTTTTTTTCATTTTCTGTTATTTTTGTCCATGATTTGATAGAAACAAGCAGCCTCTCGGCTGAGATAGCTCCGCTGCTAGCAATGCACATTTCAATTAAAAAACAGAAGATATCATTAGAAAATGAACAATATGTATAGTATCAAAGCAATGGGACTTGCTGTTTTCAACAAGAATTCAAAAATATCATTTTTCACCATAAATGATTGTGGTTTTTAACAAGTCGAAAATATCACTTTTTACCAAAAATGACAAAAATATTCACCAAAATTAGAGAATTGAAATTATCATCATGAAATGAACAAATCTGAGAGAGATCCACATGTAGTACCTATAAACATACAATGTAATATCAAAGCAATTGGACTTGCGGTTTTATAACAAGAAGTCGAAAATATCACTTTTTACCAAAAATGACAATAATATTCACCAAAATTAGAGAATTGAAGATATTATCATGAAATGAACAAATCTGAGAGAGGTCTACCCAAGGTACATAAACACCAAGTATCAAAGCATTCAGACTTGTAGTTTTCAAAAAGAAATCGAAAAAGTAAAACATTGACACGGACGACGGACAATCACTCATATGATAAGCTCCGCTCGACAAAGTCGACAGCGGAGCTAAAAAAAACAAATACTCAAATATTCCAAGATTGTTTTGACTTCATTAAAAATAAAATCGTTTTTGTAGGATGGAAACTTTTTGAGGTCAAAACCCCCCACCCCCAAACTAAAGCAAATAAGTTTTTTATCAGACATTGATCTTTTGACGTTGTTCCTTAAGACACCAGTTTGTACATACCTTGTAAACACTACCAAAAGCCCCTGTACCTAAATGTTCATATACTGCATAGTTGTTTATATGATGAGTTGGTTCCTTATTCTGATTGGTATCTTGAAAACACTCTTTGATTACTGATAACTCCTCATTCTGAAAAAAATGATTTAAAATACAATTTTCTATTCATTAGTTAAAACAATAATGCTGTTGTGTAATAGAAAAATGCAAATTCAAAAATCAAAATTTCATCTCACAATTTGACAGACAAACATTTCCACAAAACAAGAGATCTGAGATAATTTTTATTTAATGTACAAAAATCAAATCAAATCAAATCAAACTCCATTTTTGCATGGTTTACCCTTTTTATTCGACCCTATAGACAATTTTAAATTCTGCACTCAATATTACATTTTCAACATAAGAAGATTTGATAAAAACATCTACAGCAGTGTCTACTTTAAAGTATCGTACATTTTATTAAACTGACAAATATACTACTGTAAAATACTTTATTTTAGCTTGGAATTATCTTTCGCTATTTTCGCTGAAAGAATGATTCAGTGAAAATAAAATCCAGCGAATATACCTTTTTTCCTATATTTTATATTCACTTTTCAAAAATCAGTGAAAATAAATTCCATACAAAACACCCAAAAAGTTATTTCAGCAAAAATTAATTCCAGCTAAAATAAAGTATTTTACAGTACCGGTATATATCTATTGTTTTATTAGGTTGGGAATGTTGCCCAAATTTAAATCTTTTGGATAACACAATAGGACCTAATCTTTTCACAATCAAAGGTTAAAATACCATTATTAGTAGAGTAATGTTTTCACAGTTTTTTGTTTTTTGATTTGCCAAATGATATGACCGACACTTTCTTGCAGTATATTTAAAGACTCTATATACAAGTTGCATGGAAGCTTGATAATATCACATAAATCTTTCATGCATTGAAACTTAGGAACGAGATATGTGATTTTATTTAAATATTCTTCTTGTACATGTAAAGTACACATTTTTCTTGAATATTCTTCTTGTACATGTAAATACTTTTATGGGCTGATGGTCTTGAATTTGTAAATAAAGACCATTGACGTAAAAAAATAATATCACATCAAGTGGTAACAGAAAATCACCACTTACCGACATACTGTTAATCATGTTCAGCAATGGTTCATATTTTTTGATATCTCTAACATAATGACCAACATCAATAAACTTCTCAAATAGATCAGCTGGAAATAGTCTCTTGAACAATTGTCGGTTCCTCTCCATGCTAAATAAAAACCTCAACGCACGGAAAGCATTTTTCTGTAAAAAAAAAAAAAATAACATAGTAAAACTATTGAAGCTTTGCTTTGTTTACTGGAAGGTATCACAGGTGCATTTAAAGAATTGAGAATTAAGCGAATTCCCAATCATCTTAAATATATCATGCCTCCCCCAAAAAGCAGATCATCCCCTAATAGCCCACCGTGAAGTACAATTTAACACAGTTTATTAGTGTTCCATGAGTAACCTATAATGATCTAAATACTGATACATTTTGCTTTTTATTAACAACAAGAACACGTGCAATGAACTCCAGAAATCAGTCATTTATTCCACTCACCTGTAAAGTGTTAACTGCACTAGCATCCTGAGTTCTAGTGTTTTTTTGTAAAAATATTAACATACCAATTACATAAACTCCATTATTCTAAAAAAAAATACACAAATTAAGTCTATTAGGGATATATACATATAACAATTTGATAATGAAAAGCACCATTATTTCTGCAGCTTCACCTGACAAGTACAAATATGTGTTATGTATACAACTTGAATTACAACTATTATATCTGACCTTTTTATAGCGTTTATAGGAATATCTGTGACACTTAGATATGAGGTTTTTATATTGCATTATCAGAGGGAAATAGGCATTCAATATACAATAGTGTAATATGTGACTACATGTCAACTATATGGAATTGAAAACCAAATATCATGTCAGCTAGGTGGCAGTGGACACCATTTCTCATGTCATCTAGATAGATAGCATTGGACACCTCACTTCATCTCAGCTATATGGCACTGGAAACCTGATCCTAAGTAAGCAAGGTGGCAATGAACACTGAACACCCATATAGGTGGCACTGAACACCCATATAGGTGGCACTGAACGCCTTTATATGTATCAGTCAGGTGGCATTGAACACCTCACTTCATCTCAGCTACATGGCATTGGAAACCTGATCCTAAGTAAGCAAGGTGGCAATGAACACTGAACACCCATATAGGTGGCACTGAACACCTTTATATGTATCAGTTAGGTGGCATTGAACACCTTACTTCATCTCAGCTACATGGCATTGGAAACCTGATCCTAAATAAGCAAGGTGACATTGAACACTGAACACCTTTATAGGTGGCATTGAACACCTTTATATGTATCAGTTAGGTGGCATTGAACACCTTACCCTAAGTCAGCACAGTGGTATTGAAATTTTTTATGTCAGTTAGATGGCATTGAACACTTTTATGTCAGTTAGGTGGCATTGAACACTTTTATGTCAGTTAGGTGGCATTGAACACTTTTATGTCAGTTAGGTGGCATTGAACACTTTTATGTCAGTTAGGTGGCATTGAACACCTTACCCTAAGTCAGCACAGTGGTATTGAAATTTTTTATGTCAGTTAGATGGCATTGAACACTTTTATGTCAGTTAGGTGGCATTGAACACTTTTATGTCAGTTAGGTGGCATTGAACACTTTTATGTCAGTTAGGTGGCATTGAACACCCAATCTTACCTGTACTAACTGCTGTGCATTAGCGTCATTCAACACCAATTCTGTCAAGGCTGCACAGCAGGCTACAAATAACAAATGTAGTGAAATTAATAAAAGCTATCTCATCAAATTATTGTAAGAGAATTGGGAATATATGCTAATCGGACATCTAGAAGTGGAGTGCATAGCATGCTTAAAGCGAGGTAGTCATTACCTATGCATACAACAGGAAGCTATATATAGCATGTCATTGTTTACACACAAGTGCCAACCTATGAGCCTTTGCAATTTTACCATGCATTAGTATCGGTGCTTAGGACTTAATTTCCGCCTGTGCACAGGTGACGCCCACTCTTCTTTAAAGCGTAACAAAATCAGTTGACATAACAAGCAAAAGGTATAATACCAAGCAATTCTTAGACAACAAGATGTTAAAAAAAAATTGGTTCAATCTTATTAAATGATACATGCAATAACACAATATAGTATTGCCAAATATAAAACATTGACACAAACACAATTCATGGTACATTTTATATACTTACCGGACTGTAATGAAAGTACATGTTCCAGTGGCTCATCTTCACCCTATTATTACAAAGACATCACATAAGAAAGTGAAAAATGTTAAAAGTGATAGTTTCCAAATATTATGTCTCCAGGAAATGCTTTACACACATTGTATTGACGTTGATTAGGTAGAATTATTAGGTGTAAGCCTTGCATGAATTGCACTCACTGTATTATCCACGGGCACAGCCAGTGGATGTTTTCTGCCAGCTCTGTCAGCACTTTTGGGAAGACCACTTGGACCAGACGAGTGGTCAGACACAAATTTCCTGTCGTGCAATATACTTAGTATTAAAGGAACTCCACCCATTGTTTTAATGTCACTACTAATATCAGCATCTTCTGATAACTGAACTATACACCATATCTGGAAAAAAAAATATCAGTTTAACTCAATTTAATTTCTTAAAATGAAAGAATTGTGAATAAAATCACTTAACAGCTTAATTGTATTTTTGTCACTACTTTTCATTAAATAAATGAATTTCTGCAGATTAGTTATTGTTTCTTTTGGGAATATGATATTGGACAGTGTTTCTTTTCAGTGTGTTTCATATTTTGGACATACCTAAAGGAAGTCTATTTCATCTTTAATGAAAAATGTCTACAAATCCTATTTTCTAATGGTATTTTTGGATGGGTGTGTCTTCCTTTTTCAATGATAAATTGTTATTACTTGTTCTGAATCTATTTACAGAAATTCTTTGATTTGTATTTAGAACATTTAAGTTGTCTTAAAAATTGTAATTATGTTTAAATTTAGTGTATGTTCCAAATTTTGTTTTCTCATTTGTCATATTTTCTCTCCAATAGGAGATAGACTATGAGGTTATTACGAGGATACCTTAAAGTATGCACAAAGACAGTACAGTGAGAGTATTGACAGACACTCAAAATAGGTTTCTCTAAGTTTAACATCAAATGGATGTTTACTCATGAGCCGAGCCGCGTATATGTATGATGCTAGTTATATGAAAACAGATTCAAGTTCAGGCAATAAAAAAGCCTATAGGAAGTTACATGAATTGCCAAGACTATTATGGGAATCTGCATTTAAAAAAAAACACAGATACAGGCAAGGTAAAACTTAGATTAGGTATTCTTGATCTTTTTTTTTTAATTATAGCATAAAAACATTAACTGCAAAGCGGATAAAGTGTCATTCAAATGAGGTGTATCTCAAATTGTATTTATAGTAATGTAAATATTATCACCAAGGCAATAAGAGAATACTTACACAGTTCCATAATAGTTTTAAATTATCACAATGTAGAACGCTAAGAAGAATAGGAACGCCATCATATATTTTAACTTGCTCTCGTACTTGGCTATCCGCACAGAGTATACGCAACAAACTAGCAGCTAATCTATAACAAATATTATAAGAAATTAATTAATCAATATTACTAATCACAAATAACATGACAATACTTTTAAAACAAAATTCCCATTTATAAATGAGATACTCATTAACTTTTAGTTATTGACAAGTATAATATTTAGGCAAATACAGTACCATATCATAACTGTTATATGTTATCTACGATAACTGTTAGACAAAAACAAAATATTCATTGGCAGGTTTTTAGCAGCCATGTGCTTTTTTTTTAATGTTTTTCCTTTTGCAGAATTTTCATATAAATTCATTAATTTAATTTAATTTCAGAATAAAAACAAAAATAAAAAGCCACCAAAATGAGGCCATTTTATAAAAAAAAATTCAATCCTTATATAACTGGTACAAAGGCTTGCAATAAAACACAGATGACAAGACAGCTTTAAATTTACCAACATAAGGGCTATACTTACTTTTTAGATAAGATATCATAGTCTTGAAGAATTCTCAGCAGTGTTTCAATGCAATTTAATTCCCCTATAAGAGCTCTTGGTGCAGGACTGTATACAAGGAAAACATGAATATTGAGATATCATTTCCAATCACAGCAGTTTATAGATAATATTTCCAATCATAGTAGTTTATGCAATCTTTCATAAAAAATTAATGTTAAGATAAGATTTCCAATCACAGCAGTTTACACAATCTTTCATAAAAAATTAATATTGAGATAGTATTTCCAATCACAGCAGTTTATGCAATCTTATATTGAGATAGTATTTCCAATCACAGCTGTTTGAACAAACTTTTAAAAATACATGTTATTTTAGAAAAAAATTATTTTACCTAGATTCACATTTTTCATTTGTTCAAATAACGTATTTACTCTATTTAATATTTCCAATCACAGCAGTTTACACAATCTTTCATAAAAAATTAATATTGAGATAATATTTCCAATCACAGCAGTTTATAGATAGTATTTCCAATCACAGCTGTTTGAACAAACTTTTAAAAATACATGTTATTTTAGAAAAAAAATATTTTACCTAAATTCACATTTTTCATTTGTTCAAATAACGTATTTACTCTATTAAAAGCATGCATGTCTATATAATTAAAATCCAATAAATACAATAAATAATTTTTGTTATTGCAGATGTACTTCTGATAGAGAAAATATGGTATTCACAATAATGTATATTTATTCTATTAGTAATACATGTGTTTTATGTAAATATATATATGTGTATATATACTCATAATAAACAAAATTTTAATAATTCAGTGTACAAAAATAAATGCAACAGTTGGTTTCATGCATTTATTTCTGAGATGCACTGATAAAAACTATACAATATCAACCTTATATTAGATGAAACATACCTAATAAAGAAAAATATATGTTTAGTACATACCCCCGGTATTATTCAGGTTTCAGGTCTAAGCTATAAAATTTGCATATAGCTTGATCAATCACAGTGATGTATTTAGACGAATTATTAACATATAACTAACCTTTCAGCTAAACTTATGAGAGCATATAGTGTACAGTGCAGGACAATGACATCATTGGAAGAAAGCAAAAGTACTAGTGGCTGTCAAGAGAACAAATAATGCAATTTAAAATAGGAATATTGACTTCCTCTTTGTGTATATTTATTAACAGACCTGGAAACAACAGATGCATGCTGTTGGTTGGTGTTGGTGTTTAATATCACATCACAACCAGGTTCTGCTACATTCAGAAAACTTGTTAAATGTGCAAATTTGTTGTTCGTTTTGCAGCATAGAAGTTCATTAAGGTACCCTTTCTCAAGAAAAATTTTATAAAATTATCTTGATATATTGAAATACTATTAGAGAAATCTGTTTTTTTGTTAAAGACTCCAACCAGGGATTGAGGCAATTGCCTTTGAGGTCTCTGTGAGATTCAAGCCCTGTAAAGCAACCTTTAATATCTTTACGGTTTTCTCAGCAGCATACATCAGTTTCCCAGAGGGGCTGTTGGTCACACACCCCCACCCCCCATCAAATGTTCCTAAGAATATTCAAATTAAAATAAATAAAGCAGCACTTCAGATATATTCATGTTAGGCATTCAGTTTTGGGTGTAAAGTGTAAAGTCTAAATAAGGTTGCAATGCATCACAAGTTAACAGTATAACAGCAATAGGATTCAATGATCATTCCAGTAGTATTATCAGTAACACACCACCTGCAGAATCGAAGCTGTTTTTTTTTTTTAAATAATTTTGGTTATTCGAGAAGGCTTTCAAGCATGTGATGTGTTAAAAAGATATATACATACCTTATGCGCACCACATGCAACAAGCCAGTCTCTTTGGGATACCACGGCTGATAACTTCTGAAATATATCTAAATAATATGTAAATTATGGTAGTAAGTTAAGTATTTAATTTTTTTCTGAAAAACTTATTTCACTGTATTTTTCAAGCACTATAATACAATTACAACAGGAAGTTGCTGACAACCCCATTTTTCTCACCCCACCCCAAATGGACTTGAGTGAAAAGTGACTCCTATTCCTAAACAATACAAATACCATATTTGCTCCATTAGAAGTGCATAGAATAAAAGCACACAATGACTAAATTGCATTTATTGCATGCTGGATCACCTCAGTTATTATGTAAGTGCATGGCACAACTAATAGAGCAAATACAGTACATACAACAACATATTGCATATAAACAGTGCAGAGTGATGTCCTGTGTTCTTGCTGCAATATTCAACAATCCAGCATCTCTTTTTTGAACTATACATAATCCCATGACATTTTAGCTCCCCCCCCCCTCAGTAGTTTGACGTCATTGAGTACTCGATATGACTGCCAGAATGGCCGAGTAGCCTGAGGCTTAGATTGATACAATTCACTAATATCTACTGACAGGAAACTAAAAAATATTACATGCATTATATATAATATCACTTACTTGTCATTTCTTTCAATATATCCAATATAAATGCTTGTTCACCATAATGTAAATATCTTTCAGTGACAGTTTGTAGACGCTAAGAATAAATCAATCAGTACATGGACTGTTAAACACAAAACCTGTCAACATTAGTAATATTTTGAGTCGATTACGCTTTTCAAAGTCAACTTTTGCCACCTTTTCAAGAATAAAACCACATAATTTCTATATTCAATGGAAACTATACCCATTTGATCTAAAATTAAAAAAATAATAATATTTGAAAATACATGAAAATATACAAAATATTGCACTAAAATATTAAAGACAAGGAATTTGGAATCTTCTTGAAATCTAGAATATGATACCATAATACATGAAGTACATTAAAAATTTAGAGGCAGTCATTAGAAGAAGAAGTTGGTTATTTACCTCTGCCAACACCTTAATTCCTCCCAGTTTAAAGAACAGTTTCTAGAGAAAAAAATAGTTTATACATACATACATGCATGTATAAATTAGTTGATTCAGTTTGTGTATTAAACCCTACTAAAAATGTAACAATGTTGATTCCATACTCACTTGAAAAAGAGGGTGTAATTACACAACCATATAGATGCTGTTTTGTGCACAGTCCATAAACTTTTACAATCGTGACAAACATTTTAATATTTCACTGACAGCACAATGTGTTAAATTAAAAACAAGTGAAAATTCAAATTTAACAATCAATTGAATTTTTTTCTTTACAAACCAGTGAATTTAATATCCATGCGACAACATATCTAGTAAAATTAAACCCATTGAATAATCCACCTTCAACAGAACATCTTCAACTGTTTCAATACAATGTATTGAGTGACAGCCTTGGATTTTTTCACTCAATATTTCATGGGAATAATACATGCTATTATGAATTAATAATGAAGTATTTTAACATTACCTGATAAGATGCATCTCTCATTAACATACGTAGACATATCAAAACTCGAAGTATGATTTCAGGCGGAGCTTTATCGGCCCAATCTCTGAAAACAAGATGATACATGACGGTCAGTAACTATAAAAATTAAATATATAAAAGAATACAAAATACTTCACACCATGCATGTTTAAAGACTGAGCACACAGCTACACAATATTACACTGTCTCGTTTAAAATCAACTCCTCATCCAAAACGACACTGTGGCTCGTTTATTATTGTAATAATATTTTAACTTACATGCAGCATAGTCGTTTTTCAACTAACGCTCTAAATATCTGAAAAATAAAATAAACATAATATATATTATTTCCTCCTCCTTCATTACTAGAATTGTCATTTTCAGACTAAAGTACGTGATATAACGGTACTCGTAAAATATAGAATAACATGACATGTGTATTTAACTTGCAGCTTGTTGGCTGATATACTGTCCTCTAACATTGCCCATTGGCCCTATACAGCTGAGCAACACAATATAGTATATAGTATAATATCTGTTTTAAACAACAATGATGACTGAGAGGTTGGTGGAAGTACCTTGTAAAATTATTATTACTTTGACGCCATTTTTTTCTATTCATTTTGGCTATCCGTGGAGGCGATGTGTTAAACCATACTATCATACAGTGGTAATACTTACCAGATTAAAATAAGACTTTTGTTGGTGACTACTAAAATGTCTTTCAGACTGATATTTCAAACTGTAATGAAGAAAGATGAATTAAGTGAGCATTTTGATTGATGATTTGGTTAATGAGTAATCATAGTTTAATTGTTTAAGCAGATGGATGACCTCTATGATAGAAGGGCAAATGCATGTGTATTTCAAAAATACTGAATGGCCACGACAGATTAAAACATGATGAATAACACATATGACATATGTTAGTATGACAAATTTCCAAATAAATGAGTTAATCAATAGAAATTGAAATGTCAACAATATATTGTAATAAATTGCACAATTGTGATTATAATGACATAGACAATAAAAATGTGATTTGACAAAAACATCAGCATCACAACAAAAGTAAACTCTTTCCCACTAGAAATGTTCATGATTAACATAATTCCAGAGCGACTGCGAAGAAAAAATGTCACACAAGTCACTGTGACTCCTGTCTTACTGTCATTGCATTAATGAATGGGAAACCAAATCACAAATATTGCCAGTTAATTGGATAACCGTACAACTGCATATTTGAACATAAAATTTGAATTAAATCTGTATTAAAAGCCGCAGCTTCTCTGAAATAGTACCCCAGTACAATGCAGCAGTGGACCTACACAGAAATGAGATATGGTGAATTATTGGTTCACAATTGTTCAGTTTCTATTAGGAATGCGGTTTCTAATAAAGATTTTGAGAAATATTCAAAGCTACAATATTTCATGATTTTTGCTCACTTCAACTATCTAAAGAAGATCTGGTGATATTTAATTCACCGGTAGACTCACATACCTTAATTTCTCCAGTGCTTGGGATTCAGCAGTTTCATAGTGGACGGCATCGATGGATAAATTCTGAACAGATTTATTGAGTATTTCATTATTATTTGAAGGGTCTACTTCACTGGACGGTAACTAGAAAAATAATCACATAAGGACATTTAATACCATATATGCAATAACACAGTGTCTACAATAACGAGTACAGTTGAGAATCGCAGTAGTTGTAGTTTTTGTGCATCACTTCAGCATTGTGTTTTGAAACTCCATACAACACCCACTCAATATTTTTTCTATTAGAAGACAATCTCCAATAGAAGCACATATGTAAACCAACAATTGCGTTCATATACAGGATCATTGAAATACGACTTATTATGACCATAGACATAATAAAGTATTGTACATTTATTGTATCATATTTTCCTTATTAGTAGCGCATGCTTGAATAAATAACAGATGAGTCAATGGTCAAAATAAGTCATATTTCAATGCTTAGAATACAATAAATCCAGTTTTTTATTCATGTCTGCTTCTACTAGAGATATGCTTATGATATGGTATTTGCTCTAACAGGTGTTTCCATGGTTAATATTTCAGTGATTCAGTCTGCAATACATGCAGTTTTTGTGGATGTCCTTCTAAAAAAGCAAATATGGCAGTCATTATTGTCATTTATCAGATAGTACACTCAAGGACGATGTCACTAACCTGTTGTTCTGTGGCAGGATTATCAAGAAGATCTAGTAATTTTGACAGTTGCTGGCATTCTCTGAAATGTTAATTATTTATATTAACGATATGTATTAGATAAACATCAGAATTCAGAAAATCTATAGACATGTGATTGTACTTCCGTATACTGTTTACGTTTCCATGGTTGCATGCAAGACAACCTCAACTCAATTTCCCGCAATGTTGTTTATTCAGGCAATAATTACAGGATTTTGTCAGGAATCAATAATAAGCACTGTACTGCAGAATGAGTTGCCATAACAATTCTCACTGATAGGAAATTTCATGATATATTGATTTTATAGAATTCAAGAAGACAACATTTTGTGAAATTCACTGACACTCTTTTTCGTAGAACTCCGGAGAAATTTTCACAGCAATAAAATTTCATGATTTTTAATGACTCGCAGAATTCGCTAAGATTTTTCACTCAGGAAATTGAAGTGGTCTCCTGGTCATATGTGAAGATGAAACTTGAATATTTATTGTAATGAGAATAACAAAATGAAAAGGGAACATTTGGAAGAGTAACCTATCGGCAAGAGGCTGATGAATAAATAAAACACCAAAATAGCAGTCCATCATCCACACTAGATTGAATTCTTGGAGGAAAAAATGGCATTTATATGAGTATCCAGCAAAAGTTTGAACGGTTTTGGCACATTCAACTCTGTGAATTGGTCACCAGGACATAAACAAAATGGCCACCAACCATCCATTCAAAATTTCTTTTTCACTTTTAAAATGATAAAAACACACATGTATGTTAATGCAATAAAACTCTCCTTAGTTTGGTGTATATTGGAACAATACCGAAAATAATGAATACGACAATTAAATTGTTTCCCCCGCCTGTACCTTTCCTTTTATGTGGATTACGGGTAAGGTTACAAACCAAGTGCACATTTCCTGTTCTGTCATGTTTTGTTTTGTTTTCCTACATTTGATAATACCTGGGTATAAGCTTTTAATAAAATCAATAGTTTATTTAGTTGTGTACATTTAATCTTTACAAAATCAACATTTTTAGTATAGACAGAATAGGCCTTTGAATAACTGGGCATAGACTGTCTATTGTTACAAACCCATGAAACAGAGCTATGGCATAATATTGTTATTCTTACACAAAGGACAATAACCTTGGAATAAATAATGGTATGGTTTCCTGTCTTATCCTTCAGTCAAGTACTCTGGTCTACCACAAAAGTTATAAAGAGTGTCCTTGTGTGTATCATTAAACTGACTCAACATAATTAATGAAGTGTGTTCAGGTCAACAGCCCCAAATACACAGTATTACTTGTTTAAAAATACCGTAAAATCTGTATTAGAAGCCGCATCTCTAATAGAATTCGGACCCATTCTTTTTGAATAGAAGCATCCCCTCTGTTGCATTGTATCGTTTTAATTGAAGCCGCGGCTTTTAATACAGATTTTACAGTACCAGTTTAGTTAATATTATAATAAAACAAAATCAAACATGTATGCTTTAATAGTTTGTCCTCTGTATAATTTCTTTTACAGTAAGTATTATTCTCAAACTGAGTTTATGATCTCAACCCTTTGAGCTCCATCATTTTTTCCGGCAAAATTTCCATGCAAGATTTTGCCCGATTTTAGGTATTTTTCCCATATTATTTTTATTAATTTTTGACCATATGGACATTTTTTATAGGCTACAAGTCTTGATCCATATTTTGGAATAATTTTAAAAAAAGTATGTGGATCCTAAAATTGTGAGTGGTGACAACATTATATTTTGGCGCTCAAAGGGTTGAACGCCTTCAATAAGGTCTATGATTCATACACTTTTGTCATTGTTGTTTACTACTCAAAAATGTGGTGGTTGTTGCACAGCACATATTCAAATTTCATGTAAACAAACAATGTATTTTACACGCGTTGTATACGTCGCTATGAGTCCCATATCGAACAGGACGCGGCACGACGACGTACATGCCGCTCTTTAAATTGAGTTTGAATAAAAAACATGGCTGATGAAAAATAAAGTAATAAATCCATAAATCCAGACATTGATTTTGATTACAAAATGCTATCATATCTCCTGATTTTTGCTGACTCAGGAAAATCCTAAAATAAGGTCTCTTATAAAATTAAAAAATTTCCCAGTAGTCTAAGATACTGTAATAAGATGAGATACAGTATTAAATATTATTAAGAAGTAAACAATTACTTACTCATCTACAGCTAATCTAGTATCACAATCCATGCTTTGATTCAATCTGCATAATGAGTATAAATAAAGATGACGTAGTGATGCAATTCAGGTAAATAATGTTGTATCTGTAAAAAAAAAAACACAGTCATCATTTCCATAAATGTCCTGCCTAAATGTATGTAAATCAGCTGAACTCATTATAGTTCTGGTATACTACTTCATCGTGTTGGTTAGCAGCACTGACCCCTATCCTCAATTACCCCCCCCCCCCAAAAATTAATTGTATAAGCTCACCTATAGTTATCCATATACAATTGAATTGGGGGGCTGGAGGGTTAGGGTAAAGGTACATTGGAAAGTCTTTCCACAGCCCTCATAGTATGAATCATTCTACACACATAAAAATAGCGCATAGGTTTAGCTACGAATTGACTTTAATCTCAGCTGACGTTCAAATATTAAAAGCACAATCTATGAAAACAAATCACAGAAAGATAAAAAAAAGAGAGAACAAAAAACCCTTAGAGCCTTAGATGAAAATCATTCAAGAATGACAAAAAAAACATATTTCCTAATTTTAAAATCTGATTATTGATAATGACTACTATATTATTACATGGTGTAACATCTTGGCCTTCATTGAGTGACAGATCTAAATTCAATCAAATCTTTTTAATTCAATGAAATTAAATGAGTCAGCACTATAACATATGCATGTACAGTCTCAGGTTTTACAAATCAAATGTAATGAAAAGTACAGTTAATCTAGTATTCCTACTGCCCAAGTGATTAATATACCTAAACTGTTCACTACATCTGAGGAATACAGATTACCGGTAATATGTATAGTTTATCTTACCGTCAGTTTTGTACAGACATATTAGAAACATCTAGAAACCATGGACAGGATGAACTGCTTCCTAGACACCAACAAACGAGCCTCAATTTAAGACAATTCCATGTCATGTAAAATAATGCTCTTGGGGAATACAAGTTGTGACTTGAAAGACACGTAAAGCCCTCCAGGAACTGAATTAATTAGACAACAATGCTAATGTTGTAACAAGTGACTTTTATCATGGAGCTCCTACTCTAATGAAAGTGTTATCATCACATTTCACACTTACTTGGCTGAATGAGCTGATAAGTGATACCACAAGAAACCTATGAATACTGTAAATGCATTAATTATTCACTGGGTTTTAATTTTGCTTTTTTCACAGTGAATATGCTCAAAACAGTGACATCAAATAAAATGTCAATAAAAATAAATGGTTTTATAGTAGCCTTGGCCATCCAAGACTAAAGCTTAGACAAGTATGTGATATTTTATATTCTTTTGTTTGGATAGTTTATAGTTTACATTATTGCATACCACTGTTATCTAGCAAAGATCGACCTTTGTTGAAGAAATAAAAAAATACATGTAGTCAACAATTTGCTACACCTTAAAAATGAGCTATGCATAGAAGTCAAAATAGATACCATGTGCCACAAGTGTTATCAAATTATTGCCAATATGTACATTTTTTGAAAAAAATGCAACACTCCTTTTGGCCAATATATGTATATATTATAATATTGAAGTGCAGTCTAAAATCTCGGAGAAACTTTGATTGTATCATGGTTATATGTAGTGTGTACAGCCATGCAATTTACAATAATAATATATTATATTATATATTTATATTATATGAATCAATGTTTTGTTTTCCATCAAAAACTATTTTTTAGTCATTGACAAACTAATTATGAAATTATATCCACCAATCAGCTGGGTCTATGTCAAACTCGAATGAACGAGTTTGAAAATTATGGACACACTGAACGTCCGCCGCGCCGTGACTTAAAAAAAAAAGGCTTCTGTCGCCATCCGGTATGACCTGTAGACATGCACGCTGTGGCAGTCATCAGTTCGTCACGGATGTACACCCATGTTACACGACTTCATACGTCGAATAACACTGTCACAGTTACACGATACCACAACAATATTTTGCGGTCACGGCCACGGCCACTTCTTCCCGGGTGGCCAATATATTTATTGTACCCTGCGCCATGGACGTCCATGCATTATTATGTGTAGCTTGTATTTGATTGGAACGTTTTGATGCATGTTATCCGGAAGAAAAAATGCAGTCACGCAATGTCAGCTAAATAATCAGAACCTACTCGATTCGTCAATATTCAATATCTCGTAAACCAGCAAAAAATGTTCATATTATTATCACAAAAAGGATTTCAGGGTCAGTTCAAGCAGCGACTACTCGTACCACGGTTGCAGGAGAAAGTTCAAGATGGCGTCCTCAGCAACCAAACGTACGGTGTACAGCTCAGCTGGGCTCTTTTCATCAGGCATACATGAAAATACGTCACAAAATATTGAATAAGAAAATGACAATCGTGTCATTTCATCAATATTAATCCTACTCACATCATTTAATTATTCCTGAGTTCCATGAACGGTAAATGACTGTACGTCGCCGGTGTAATCATTGAAACGTACTCCGTGACTTCTGCAGATTACAGTGTAATGTACACAGTACAGATCAAGGACCCGTGACGTCACCATTCTTATGCAAATATCGCACCGTTAATGTTAATGAGTTCATCGAGTGCGTTTGGGTGCGTATTTTGTTGGTTTTACGGGAAATGGTCTAAGATGGTTGCAAGACAAATAGACAAATCAATAATTAATCATTATTAATGGCTTAATAGTAATTTTTTTTTATTAGCACCTAACTGTTTCGAGAGCGATACAAAGTACAGACCTGGATTTAATTCGGATATACTGTAAAACATGTATTTTTAGCTAGCATCATGCTAGCATGTTTTTTTAGCTAATTTAGCTAATCTGCTAATTCAAGATGTCACTAATTTATAATAAAGTATATTCTCACAATGAGATTGTTGACACTTTAGCTAAATTAAGATTCAGTTAATTCATGCGTGGAGACAAATTCGCTAAAATGGCACGTAGCTATTTAAACATGTTTTACAGTATGATATAGTTGAGAAAACAACAAACTTCACCTATCTGGGTGTTAATTTTAATAGTAATGGGTCTATGGACTTAACAATGTCAACACTAGCAAAACAAGCAAGGAGAGCAGAAAGGGCACAAGCACCTATCTATAATAACAATAGAAACAATATTACTATTAAAACAAAATTGTTTGAGACTACACAAATACCAATATTAACATATGGGGAGAAATACAGGGAGTATGTACGAACAAAAACTGGGACAAGACTGAACCTGAAAAAGTCCACCTCAGATTATGTAGGCACATTCTAAATGTGAATAACAGATCAAGCAACATTGCAAAACAAAACTTCAACAAAATGGCAGTAAAGTACTGCATTAACAAATGGAACATAGACATGCAAAGAACAGAATCTAAACTGAGGACTTACAGTTTATTAAAAAAAGACATTAAACAGGAATATTATTTATAACAGTTAACTGATAGGCAAGTGGTTCAAACAATGAGCAAATTTAGAATTAGCTGCCACCAACTGTACATAGAAGTGGGTAGACACACAAAACCAAAAACAAAAATTTAGAACAGGAAATGTGACAATGTAACATGATTGAGGATGAAATCCATTTCATCACTGAGTGTGATCTCTATACAGGAAATAGACAAGAATTATATAGTCTATTCTCCAATCCATATTTCAAAAATTACAACAACAAAGATAAATTTATACACATTTTAAACACAACTAACAATGTCTACTCGGGTTATTAAATTACATACAGAAAGCCTACAAAATAAGAAAAGTGAAGGTGATAATTAATTAATGTATTGTTGTGCTATATTTTCAGTGTGATTTAGTTGTTGTTTATTAGAAATCTATTATTGTATTGTATGTGTAGTTTAATTGTAGTTAATTTCAAAAAGCTTTAATACAGCAATTACCAAAACTGAAATGTCAGATTTCATTAAGGATTTAATAAAGCATTATTCTATTCTATGTACATTTCAAAACTAATTTTGCTACAGCATGGAAAATGTTAGATCTAGTTTCATGATTACAACTTCTGTTCTGTTTTCTATATACTAGTACTATTTTCTTGAATATGTTTTTTTTTTTACGCTACGCCTTCCTCAGATTCTATTAAGTATGCAAATGACTGGAGGTCATTCAGGGTCAATGACCTGTCAAATGTGTAGGTTTATTGCTGCGAATACAACATATTTTCGTAATGTTATGTTTATTATATTTGATAACAACCTACATTGCGAAATTTTATTTTGCGTCTTGATATTTGTCTATCAAATTTTATTAAACTATGTTTACATGTATTGTGTTAAAAATGAGAAAATTACTAGTAAGTGTTTGTTGCTTTTATTGAGAAATGTAAAACCTATAACTGATTAGCATACTATTCTGTAATATTCGTAAGCCGACCTTACTTCTTACATTCATATGTGCATATACTTCTAACCCATCCTCAGTCATTCACCACTGACACGGAATTTAGATAAAATTAACGTGTTTTTTTTTCATTCCAAAAGCAATAAAAACGAGAACCTGTAATTTTTACTATTGTATTTTTTTTTTTTGATACGGCATATTTTTATCATGACTTGACATAGCTAATCTTGTAACATACATCTGAGTAATCGTTCGAGAAAACAACACATTCTGCATATGCACTGGCTGTATTGGTATGTACAACAACAATCACTGCAAATTTTGGGGTTTTTAATCTAACGAATCATAGACCCTCTAAAAGGGTCTATGAACGAATAGCCGTTTTCGCCGATATTACATTTTTGAGTTGGTTGGCAAAATTCTTTTTGTGTTTTGTTTTTTTTTGAAATAACACCTCGGACACTTAGTAGTCTGAGATTACACGAAAAAAATATGATATAAACATAAGAGTTCATTTTTATTCCAACATTACATTCAAAGATGGATCGTGTTTAAACAGGCAATCATATCGATTTACTTGCGCACATAACTGCGCAAAAAGCGAAAACGAAGCTGTGACAATCTACTTGAATTTGACCGTAAGACGTCAGTTGCATAAAATGAACATTATTCAACACATTTCCCTATAAAACAATCATTCAGGGACCACTTATACGGTACCATCATTATTTACGATACTAGTTAACATTAGTTAAGCTTATTTACAATAAATCTGTGTAACCATGGAGGTAATAAGAACTCCATGGTGTAACTATCTTCCCTAAAAATTCAATATGGACGAAACACAATTATATTTTTCTTTTATTGTTGTTTGATAATGCACGTTAATGATTCTTTTGTAGCACACACGAGAGTAATTCTTGGATGGAAAATTGAAAAACACTATACGCATGAGCATTGATTGTTATTGGATGTACCGTGCGAAAATTAATCAGTGTACATGCGTGCTATTAGACCATTTTCCGTACACTGCGAGAATCACGCGTTATGCGTGAAATCGAACGTAAAAACAGGACAAACAAAGGTCATAGCGTCGTAGTCGCGTCAAACATCGCGTGGGATTCGACAAACGCGAAAGTATTTCGGGGACATTTCCATGCTTAATAATGTGGTGTCCACATTTGATGATAGGCAATTTCGATTAAGTGAGGGTATTCGGAAGCAATATTCCTCTGTCGAAGATCGGCCGGTCAATGTAAGCTGCGAAATAAAGAAATTCTAGTTCAAAATCAAATCGTTCGATTTTTGCGGCAGACGTTCGACGCGCGTCTTTCATGCATCTCGCGAGATCTCGCAATTGTTCGGAAAATCACCTATTATACTAGCCTGAATGGTATCGTTCCATCGAACGAATAGCTGAATGCTGAATACGGTACTAGTTCGTGATAAATCATATTCTAATGTATTTATCTAAACATCAGCGTTCTTGTTCATATTGAATCTTTCAAATCTTTACGTCCACCTACAAAGACGAGAATTCCTGTCTAGAGTATCATTCATTTTTAAGTTATTACCCATACAATCCATTGACTTTTGTAAAAACTGATGGTATCATGTGTTGTTTTGTACTATCAACAATCTTCTACTGGAAATGTATACCATTAAATCCAATTTAGTTGTTTATCTTGGTAATATTTCATTTGCAAATGAAGCCCTCAGGGTGTCAAGGGAATGGCACCGCCCTACTAATGAAATTGACGACGGTATACGCCAATCCAAGCACGTGCTCACATACTAGTACAACCGGAAATCTACGGGTTTGATAATGAAATGTATTACATGAAACCTATTATGTGACAAGCATGATGCATCAATCTGCAAAAAACAAAAACCAAAAAAAAACAAAAAAACGCTCAACTTGATTCCACGGTAAGGAACTTTTGTTTCGTCCACAGAATATATGTCTCAAGTATGCACAATGCATTGCGAGGGAATTAAAAAGAACATTTCATGCCGGGACAGCACTTTATAATAACACATGTCTTTTTGAGGTCATGCTGCTAGAAAATGTTAATATCATGAAATACTACATATTACAAGCGAACAAGCAAACAAAGATATTAAAAATAGGACTATTTATATATTAAAAAATATCTGATGATACATTTTTTTTAAAATTTTCTTAATTAAATATCAGAGACAGTCTAAAGGGCGGTAGTCGTCGTGCCGCGTCCTGTTCGATATGGGACTCATAGCGACGTATACAACGCGTGTAAAACACATTGTTTATTTACATGAAATTCAAACACACGCTGCGCGACAACCACCGCGCTTTAATTTAATTTTCTGTTATTCGACTCACAGTCACTCTACTAGGAGTGACTGTGTTCGACTGAACTTTCCTTGGCCAAGTTTCTTGTTTACATTTGTGTCTAAGGAGTAGGAAGGCTAGTCGGTTTTAGATTATTTTCCACGGCAAGGAAATTTCTGAAAAATTCAAAATTTATATTTGATTGACTGTAATAACAAACTTAAACGGCAACCTTTCCTGTCTATCCAATGCTTCTGCAGCTTCTGGGATGTGAGAAAGTGTGATCCGGAACGTCCGTCATCAGGGTCAGAGATCACCGCTGAGAGTTGTGGGTAATTAAGAAATTGGGTCGCCATTTTGAATGAAAAGAAAGAAGACGATACATACGTACGGTGGTGGTGGGTGTGTGTACATTCAACGAAGACAAACAACAACATCGGCACGTAAACATAAAACGATGACAGATAGTTAATGGACAGAATATCATCTGTTCATAGTTGAACGTAACTGTGTATTCGAGAATTCGTGCATTTTATTCCGAAGAAAATGGCAACGTGCAAGAAAAAACATATCAAGGCTGTATCGCAGAAGGTAAAACTGTTCCGTGCAAACGAACCGTTACTGAGTGTTTTTATGTGGGGAATTAATCACACGGTAAGTCCTTAATTTTTCAAATTATTCAGTGATAAATTATCTTTAAAATATAAGTACGTTTTCTGTTATGCATCTTTCTACAGGATGTGATGAATAATTGCTGTGAATCATAAACAAAGCATAAATCATTTTGACACTCAAAGACTTCGGGGATGTTGTCAATTTATGGATGTCTGCCATCATCCAGTATTCAGTTTTTAATATTGAATATATTTCTTTTTACGTAACAATTGTATGTACATAGTATGTTCATGATCTATGGTATGTTGATTGTTATATAACGCTCTGTCCATGACCTTGAAATTTTTCAGGATTATATCATGATTTGAATCCGTTTGTTTAGGGAGGTGTGTACTATGAATATGTCAAAGCGAAACAGTGACAGATATGTTTTGTTTACAACATATATATATAACAATAAATTGAATTATTAAATTTAAATTACAATGGAAAACAGATTAATAATGTAAACGATTTAGACTATAATGTCCCATGGTCCATTCAATTTCAGGGATTGGTATCTTTCCTTTTAAATGCATACATGAGATATATTTTACAGTAAGATTTAAGTTCCCTTGTTTTCCCAATACCAGGTCAAGAAAATGGCAGTCAAAAATGAAAACCAGATGTTTTTGTTAATAAACTTCCATGTTCCTCATGATTTATAATATGTTAGGGGTCACCAAATTTGCATAAAACAACAATTTTAATCAGATTTTCAAATTTAAAAATAGCTGATCAGTGGTTGATTTACAGTGATCAAGTTAAGCATATAATGTTTTTAGGCTGATGTGATTTATAGTCTTGTGTTCAGGTAAGAGTCATTGTCATTCTTGGTAATAAAGATCTCATGTAAGACTGTAAACAGGTAAAGTTGTTTTACCACAGTTATTCATGTGCCATTAGACTCTGATTATTTATAATGACTATTTCATCATTAAGGTCAATTGAGATGTATCACAGTCATGTAAAACAGTTGTGCTTGGTTCAATAAATCGGCTGCTTTGTCAAATCATGAATCTACTATAAATCAACACTACACTGTGTTTGTTCGCTTTGAAGAATGGTCTTTTTTTCCCACAATAAAACATTAAGGCTGTTTCACACATTATTGTTATTGATGAGTAAATAATTCCAGCCTTTGGCCAAATCTGCGTGTTTCTGAATACATTTTGTATCCTGAAACCGCCAAAGTTTGTGTTTTTTATCGCAGCATCCTAGTTGGCAACAATAAACAAAACCAAGATGGCGTCTCATAGTAAAAACGCTGTGGCATTGCTTCACAGTTTATTGACACATTTATTTTCAGCATCAATCCAAAGAAGTTGATTATTAATAATAATAATAAAAACATCCTTTTGTGTATCAAGTTGCTCTAAGGTGCAACACCCGCAGCAAGTAATACTGGGTAAAATATTCAATGAATCATTTTGATAACCACTGGAAAATGGAAATTCAGATAATTCAACAAGATCCGATTTTATAGAGGTACATTGGTTACTGAAAAAGAGAAACAAGTAACTCTCATAAAATTTCACATGTGTACAGGTTATTTAGATCAATATTAATCATGTCCATGAAAATGTTGTTCTAAATATGGAAATTATTAATGTATTAAAATTGTATGAACATAAATTTACGATTGAAATCAGAGCAGAACCACCTGAAAAACGGGTAACTGTCTGAGTTGGCTTAAACTGTCTATGTTTGCTGTTTATTTTTGAAAATAAATTTTATCTATTATGAATAAATGTTTATATTCCATATTTAGATTCATCAATAACATAAGGGTCACACAGTGATTGATTATTTTCCAATTTAATCATGTACATGCATGTAAGAATTTAATCCCCAATATCTACCAGTTTAGATTTCTGTTTACTAGTATTGTATTTTTGAAAATTGAATGAATTATTTTCATATTCATATTTTCATACAGATTTTATTTTATTGATATTTTACTGTTTACTCAAGCATTAAAAATGTGTTGCTATATATGACATTCATGTTTTGGTAAGCCCTTCCACACACGCACATACAAGGACCATGTCACTTTAAAAGTTAATACCTGCTGAGTTTGAAACTTTGTGTTGACACAGACATTGCATAAAATGCAATTGCATGCTGACTATGAAGATTTCTTGGATTACCTGTCAATGGGTTCTACCAGGAAGTGGTCCATTACATGTAAATTTGAATAAACAATGAAACTAAAAGACAGATGCACATTCTCCTTTTATGCAAATTTTCACAATGCTATTTTCCTAGGGAGAATATAGTTTTATGAACTGATTAAATATTTATAAATATAAGCTTAAGCTGTCTACTACAACTATATATACCAGGTATGCTGTCAATTTTATGTGGTCAACATTTGTCATGTAAAGATAGGTGGGCTTGTTTCTAGCTACAAGATACAGAACGACAACATGGTTGTCCGTTCGGACGCAGTCCGAAAACTGGGACTAATGTTTTGACCTCTGTGTGTCCGTGCATCCGTGCGTCCGTGCGACCTGTATTTTAGATATTTCTGGATCAAACACAATCAAACTTCACACATACATCATACACGATATTATACATATGCACATCAATTTGTTTCACGATCTGATTCAAGATGGCCGAATGGCGGCCATTTTTGTACTAAAAATCATCAAAATCAAGCATTTCTCGGCTGTTTACAGATGGATTTTGTTCAAGCTTGGTATATACGTTGGACATTATAGGACCTTGATGCACATCATTTTGTTTTTCAGATAAGATTCAAAATAGCCGACTGGTGGCCATTTTGTTTTAATAAATGTGGTTCTAGTGACATATCTCTGACTTGCTGTGACTGATTATGTTCAAATTTGAAATATTCATTATACATCATGTCATAGATATATTGATTTGACAATCTTATTAAAAATTGCCGAATGGTGGCCATTTTTGTGCTAAAAAATCATCAAATATTAAGCATTTATGGATGGATTTTGTTCAAACTTGGTACATACATTAGACATTACGGGTTCCTGATGCACGTTATTTTATTTTCTTAGATCGAATTTCAGAATGGCTGACTAGTGGCCATTTTGTTTTAGTGAATGGGCTTCTAGAGCTATATCTCTGACATGCTTTGACTGACTATGTTCAAATTTTATATATTCATTATACATGTATTCAAAATGGCTGATTTTGTTTTAATTAATGCTCTCTAAATACTTGTTTGACGATCAGATACAAATGACAATCATTTAAATGTTAAACAATCATCATAATCTTATTCCTGACATGTTTATATTCCAGCTATATTACTATAAACAAAACTATATCTTAAATTCGATAACTAATAGGGAATGTGCCATGCATGGCTTGTTTTTTTAAATTTGTTATCATATGAGTGATTGTCCGTCGGCGTCCATCGTCCATGTCAACATTTTACTTTTTCAACTTTTTCTTTAAAACTACAATTCTTATTGCTTTGATACTTGGTGTATATGTACCTTGGGCAGACCTCTCTCAGATTTGTTCATTTCGTGTTGATATCTTCAATTACGTAATTTTGATGAATATTTTTGTCATTTTTGGTAAAGAGTGATATTTTCGACTAATTGTTAAAAAAAACGCAAGTCTGATTATTTTTGATACATGTAGACCTCTCTCAGATTTGTTCTTTTCGTGATGGAATCTTCAATTCTTTAATTTTGATGAATATTTTTGTCATTTTTGGTAAAAAGTATTTTTGACTGGTTAAAAACAGCAAGTCCGATAGACCTCTCTCAGATTGGTTCATTTTCTGATGATACCTTCAGTTCTTTAATTGAAATGTGCATTGCTAACAGCGGAGCTATCTCAGCCAAGAGGTTGCTTGTTTATTTTACTTGTACGTCCATGTTTCTATGGTTAAACAGTTATTATACAATGTAGTATAAAGAAAAAAACACGTTTGCAAGTCATGTTTGTTTCCAGAGGGATAAAATGGTTGTGAAAATGCCTGATTTATAGCCATATTGTTGCTATCACAGAGCTTATGCTATGACTGATAGTCTTTCCATGTACATCATTCAAAGGTTGATACATAACAGATTTGCATTTCAAAACCACTGGGGTGTAAAACTGTTGCCTTGTCTTCTTTGTGCTTAACCAGAATGTATTTCCGAAAGATAAAATAAAATATAGAATAAATATATATGAAATGATGTGCTATGAATTACAGTTGTGATATGCTTAAATGTCATTTTATTTCCAGGTCAGAAAAAAAGGTTGTTGACTGGTGGCCATTTTGTATGAAAATTGTCCCATTGTTTCAAATATAATATTTAGTATTTTTTCAGACAAAATTTGTTTATATTTGACGCATTGGGGTAATGCCATAAGACGAGTGCATTTGTGTGCCATTTTGTGAATGAAAATTACGAACATGAAACATGTCAAACATGCCTTATATTTTATTCAAATTCACTGTTATGTAAATTGGTACATTACTGGAGCTACATGTTGTTCATAATAATGACTTCACTTGTCCCAAATATTTGTTGTTGGTGTTAACCATATTAAAAATAACAGTTCTGGTACAATCAATATGTTAGTATTACAGTGTTCAATGGGTTAAGAGGCCATCGTTGTTTGTGTTTGGCTGAATATTTTATGTCAAAATTGTTACTGTATATAGTTTGCAGTTATTTTTTTTTTTTTTATCTTGAATCACTTTTGATTACATATGACAATAATATTTTTGACTGTCTGTAGCTATTTATTTGGTCATGGCTAGAAAACAGGTAGAGATCATAAAAAAAGTATTCCAGCCTGCACGGTTACGAACGTCCCATGAATAGCCATAAACGGCAATGACAAAATAGATTGCCATGTAATTCCTCCGAAAAACATTAATACGGCATATGCACTATTGTATTAGCCCAGAGACTCTGCTGTGATACTTTGCATAGCTGTTCGTAATCACCGCTCAGTGAAATGAGCTGAATCTAGCACAGAAATCGGTGCGAGTATGCAAATGGCGAATACAGGAGGTATGAAGCTAATTGGACAACTGACACAAACAACATTACGTCAAAGCATCCCCACGTGATCCTGGTTTCAATTTCAAAAGAGACAGAAAAGGAAGTAGGGAGGAGTCTGAGCGTAAATATAATTTACGTAATCGCACGCATTTTGCACATGTGACATAGGTACAAACGTGGGTACAAGGTCAAATCCAGGAATTCCCACACGCTGCCAGGTCTAACAACATGGCAGGTATCGTAAGTGAATCGTCTTGTATGTACAGCTTGAAAAACTTGCATAGCAGCGATCATGATTTTCCCTGTGTAATGTTGATGTCTCTCATGTTATCATGCACGAAATTCCCGCTTTCCCCTAGTTGATACACTAATCAGACTTATGAATAATAATGAGTGAGTGTGGTTAAAAATAATAGCAAACCATAGGCCCCTGTCTAAATTTGATAGATCGCTCTGTCTTATCTTGTTATTGAGCGACAGCGACTACTGCCACGACCACATTCTGCTAATTTAGATAATCCAATTTGAATTTTCAAGCGTGTTTCACTGGGCGTTGGTTAGAATAGAAACCAACTGCTAGACTCTGGGCTACTATCGTATTTGCCTATATCTGTGCTTTCAGATGATGTATAGGTTGTTATATTAGCATGCTGAAACATAGATCAATTTGTAACTTGTCTTACCATGTTGCTACCTTAATCAGCTCAATTAATTTACATAGTATGCAGTTAATTAATACATTGAAATACATCTAGTTCACGTGTGGTTGTATCTCAAAACAAAACAAAACAAAACAAAAAAAACTAAATTTAAACATGCAATTGTTTCTCAAGCATGCCTGCTCAGTCCATTTCTCATACAAATTTAATATTGAGATCAATCTTTAATGGGTTACTTATGCATGTTATTGTGTTTTTACTCTAAATGTCTGACTAGTGTTCTACTTATTTCTCTGATACCGGTACTTTCATTGATTTTGTTTAAATGTGGTAAGAGGCAAAAGTGTTGTTTGCATGTTCTCTGCAGCTGTTCTGGGGTTTCAGTGAAATTTAACATTTGAACATGTCTTCAACGATTTCCAACGATTTCTCTAACGATTTCTCCAACGATTTCTTTAGAGTGTCTGCACCAAATTGAAATTGATAAAAAGATCACACAGGATGCATTACTGATTCATGCTCGTTACATGATTTGGTTTAAAATGACCAGTTGGCTGAAATTTTCTACATATATGCTCTTCTTTCATGTTCTCAAATATTAATTCGGCTAAATACAAACAGGGACAATATCATTGCATAGGACACATGTTGTTTCGTAAATGTACGTTGCAATACATTCAGCAAACCAGTTAACTGAACTTTTAACTTTGGTGTCTGATTTCAACGCGCCAGGTCATACCATTTTTGGCATCCGGTATAAAAAACATTTTGGATATCAATACTGTATATATTTCAGTAATTGTATTAGTCCCTGGACCCCAGTGATTATATTTGTCTTTCAACTTGATTCAACACTGAATTCAGAATATGGAATGCATGCAGTGAACATGTCTTGTTATACCCAACATTGATTTTTCATACACAAGAATTTCACTAAATTAGAAGTTAAATTTTGAAAGATCAGTTGTTTTTTTCTGGTCGGTTATAGGTTGCTTTTGATTTTTTTTTTTCTTGGTCCAAAACCGCGCATCATTTTGTGGACCAGTCTACCGAATGTGTGTAATCATCCACTTCTACAATGCAGTGGTCCATGTCTAAATGGATAGCATCTATCTTGAAAAACAGACTAAAGTATACCATGGATGATGTTTCTAGCACTTGCACTTAAAATACTGTGAAACCATTTATTTTCACTGACATTTAATAATTTCACTATTTTGATGTTTTAAGCATATTCTCTCTTTTAATTTCATTAATTTGCCAAGAAACAATAAGTTTTAAGGTTTAATTTAGCGAATTTAACTTATCAGCGAAAATGGCAAAATAAAAAGCCAGTGAATAATTAGTGCATTTACAGTTTTATGTAATCCAATCCAACATGTTGAAGTACTTGTTTCTGATAAATTTGTTGTCTTGGTTGTAATGTGTTTTTTTTATCACTTGATGTATTGCAGGTAAATGAGCTGAGTCATGTGAATATTCCAGTCATGTTGATGCCCGATGATTTTAAGGCATACACCAAAACTAAAGTGGATAATCACTGTTTCAATAAGTAAGTTGCATTTATTACTCCTCTCATTTTGTTTCACCATCTTATATTATTAAAACAGAAAATAACATAAATGAGGAGCACATTTGATATAAAAATGTTGGGGACTATGGGGGTATTACAACTGAACTGAACTGGGCTTATCAATATGCTCTTATATCAATTCTTCTTTGTCATCTGTTTACATAATTTAACTTATGTCAAAGATCGCTGTCTCCTGTAATATATTTTACCAGTAGCTGTTTAGGTTTTATGAATACCATATGTTTTAGGGTGTGTTTTTTAATCCAGCGTTGCTTTATTTGAGGTTGACACCATTTTCACATTTTTAGCCAAAAACTTTTCCAAATCAATGTCCAATCTCCTTTATTTATTCAAAGTCAGAACCAACTTAACCGTTTTGGCAATTATCTGACATGTTTTCATACATATTTGTTACTGTAAAATAATTAAGCTGGAATTAATTGTCTCTGAAAAGGCCCTTTGGCTGTTTCGAATAAAATTTATTTTCACTGTTTGGATGAGTTAAATTTAAGGGTATTTTCACTGATGAATCAAAATTGGATGAATGAAAGTTGCAAAAAATAAAATCAAATTGAAAATAAAGTACTTTACAGGAGTATAATGTGTCAGATATTAGATTATATTTGTTTCTAGAATGAAAAAAACATATGTGTTCAAAAACAAAAATCCATAATTTATTCAAAAATTCTTGAATGATTATTAAGAAAACAAAGACGAATGAAAATATTTTGAGATGGTATTTTTTCTAAATTTTCTGAAATGTTGATAGACAGGAATCACTTTATATTTTTTTAAGTGAAATTTTAAATTTAAATAAAAATATAAATTTATTTTTCTGAAACTTTAATAATTGGGTGGGTACAAAGATAAAGACATAATGATTTCCATAACAATAGTATTTTTGTTACATTAGATTGTGTTACATAAACAGTGTAATCTGTCTTTAACTAATAAAATTACTTGTTACCTCATTACTCTATTAGTAGCACATGTGCAATATGTAGATTACAGAGATTTTACTATAATCAAAATAAGTAAATATTTGAATAATTCAATGCAATTTTTGGTTTATATGCACTTCTATTGGAGATTCACTTCTAATAGAACAAATACCATATATACCATTTTCGTTGCCCTCTCAAGAAGAGGTGGTAGGTACATGCATGTGGGTTATTTCATGACCAATTTTCCATCTGAGTTGTCTGAGTGGACCCGTAAAAGGTTGATTCTCAAATATTCATTCAGCTTTTATCTCATCATAGTTCATGTACCGTATGTCTCCTATATAGTAGGAGTAAAAACCAAGATTATTAATTTATACATGTATGAGCGAGTGTGAATCATTTCCTCAGCATGCATTAACTGATTTCTCTCAAATTTAGTACAAAGACCATACATGATAGATCCATATCAATTTGTTTTTTGATTCATTCCAATGTGGCTACTGTATTCAGGGACTTGTACTACATAGAATTCCGATTAGATTGAATGTTCTCAAACCAGGTATATACATGTAACAGGAAAAATGGCCACCACATTTTAGTGAGCAAATTAATAGGACTCCATGATGATGCAACTGTGAAATTGATATTTTCAATGAATGTCTATAGTATTTTATATATCTGTCATATACAATCCTAAAAATATGTAGATTACAATTTTTTTATCAGTTTACTAGTTGAGTACGATTTAGTCAAAGGTTCGCGCAACCAGGTTATCAGTCAGTCTACCGGTACTAACAATCGACAAGCACCAAGTGTATGTGAGACAAGATAGTTTTTGTGATGGTTTAACGAACAGGCAACAGATCCTAAATTTTTTAATTCACCAAGATAAACTTTGGGACTGAACCCTGATCTATGCAACACACAAAGTTGTTCCTATGGTACCCATATCTCGTGTATGCATGGTTCAAGGTTTATATGTTCACATTTCACTTTGAACTTCATTTAAAAAAAACAAAATTGAAATCTATTGAATAATTAATGCATTTACAAATTACAGTACAACATTGGTGTATGTAATATGTTAAAATAACACACAGGATTAATGTATGCGGATAGTGTTTTAAATGATGCATTGGAACAGCGATTGAGAATCTGCACTTTACTACAATTTGTCAGGTCATAGTCAAAAGAATAATATACTTTGCAGCAAACCACAAAGCTGTATTCTGCATTATACTCAGATTTGCATCAGATAATGTGGGTTTTGACTTTTGTATGTCATCTATCGTTATTGCCATGTGGATACATATATTTTTCATGTTATTTAACCATAACTTCGCTTCTTTTTATCAGATTTACTTCATTGTTGTATATAACTATCAGTGTTTATTATCTTCAGTTATGTTATCAAGATTGAGTAGAAGTAGCCAAAATTTTCTATAGATTTATGCTGTTTTTGTGACGCAAAGAAACACACTTTGGCCTGTATTCAGCCATTTCTATCAGTTTACATAAGTGTATTCTCCCTGATTGGCTCAATTAAAACAACCAATCATATTAATTGACGCCAAGGATTAAAATTCTAAGGTGTGAATCCACCCTTGTCTTTAAATTGACAAAGAGTGTTAATTAAGACAGACTTCATCCTTTGTACTCCAAGTGATACATTGTTCCAAATCGTCCTAGCGTATGTAGTTTTCAACTAGCTCTATCTCATTGCTGTACAACTGAATAAATGCGTGTTCACCATTAGAACATTGCACACTGGTATACCGTCTACTGCTTGATGTATCTACAGTCTATCTGGTGAGATTTAAAGATCCTATACTGTTTGTGGCAGTTTCCCTCACATCATCTAAGAAATGACCAGTTTGATATATACATCTATCATGACAATATACCATGGACCACTGACATGTCTTGTTTGTTTGTATTCAGAGAGAATCTTCCAAGCCATTTTAAAGTTAAAGAATACTGTCCGTTGGTGTTCAGGAATCTGCGCGAGAAGTTTGGCATCAATGATACTGAATACATGGTACATATCATATATTAATGTTAAAAATTGTGCTTTCAAATGTGCAGTATAGAAGAAAACGTAAACAAAGTTGTCAACTATTATACATGTACCGATAACAGACTTTGGTTTATTGAATCAAATTTTTTGTGAAACTTGTTGATTTAGAATAAGGAAAATTACAAAATATTTTCATTGCATTTTTGCTGGATAGTTAGATGAATGAACCACTGAGGAACAGTCTGGCATTGTGATTGTGATTGACTACATGACTGGTCTGTGTAGCCATGTCTCTATCAAATGGCAATTCGCTGGGCTGTCCTGGTATTAACCAGGCCTGGTCAAACACAAGCACCTGTGGACCTCAACCAACGTTCCCCCAAAGTTACATTCATTAGTGAATTATGATTGTTGAGTTATCAACATCAATAACAGCTGCTGGCTTCTTTGAACATTCGGTTAATGTGCATAGAATGTATCATAACTAACTATACATCTGACCAGGTGAAATGAAACTGAGTGGTGCGTGTTGCAGATTAATTAACCTACCATTCTCAACATGTATTTCTTAAATCTGCACATATAACTCCCCAAAACTACACAAATTTTAAAATGTGGAAATACTGCAAGATAAATGTTACATTTGTATTTATTTATTTATTTATTTAGTTTTGATTCTGTAATTTTGTCCCCCCAAAATATTCATATTTGTCTACAAATTCGTTATCATTTCATGACAAATAAACCTACGAATGTATCTTGTCAATAATTGTAATACTTGTTAGAGAACGCCAAGCAGTGAAGTCACATTGTGACAACTTTACAGGTACATGCATTTCATTTGATAATGTAATGATTTTTGTTTAGAATTCAATGACCTCTGCGGAACCAGTGTACAATGATTCACCAGGTCGAAGTGGAGCTCGTTTTCTTATTTCGGCTGATAAAAAATATGTAATCAAAACAATATCAAGAGAAGAAGTGGAAATGATGCACAATATCATAAAACAATACCACCAGGTAGGTCTAATTCAGCTACACCTTGACTTTTAATCTTAGTAAGAATCTATTTCTTACGTTGTTATTGACAATTTTACACTGCAGGAACCAATATCATGTTAAGTGTTTCATTTTTCATTGCTTGGAATTTTTTTGATTTGAAGATTAACAGTGTTCGAAAGGACAAAATTTTGTGAAAGTCACTGCAAATCTAGTCTCAAGTCGAAGTGTCCTACAAAATTGTGCCTGATTGGCTACTGAATCAAGCCAATCAGAAAGTAGATTGATTGTTTGTTTGTTGTCTCTCAACAAATCAAATCATATCATGTCCTGTATAAATGCTTTGACTCAACTGGGACTCGGACTGTGAAAATATGCCATTCAAAAATAAAGGTTTATGTTATTTCACAACTATCTGTGGACTTCTGGTGCATATAATATTCCACTGATTACTATCAACAACTTTTAGGCTTGTTATTCTGGTTTGCAGTGCTCATAACTTGTTAACTTCTATTGGAGATATCACAGAATTTTTAAATCGCTATTGTAAGTTTTGTCTTGAACATTTATTTCAGTTCACTGTTGAGCACCATGGGAAGACATTATTACCCCATTATTTAGGCATGTATAGAATAACGGTGGATGGAGCAGAGACATATTTAATTGTGATGCGCAGTGTTTTAAGTACAACTCTCAATATTCATAAAAAGTTTGATTTAAAAGGATCCACAGTTGATAGAAGAGCAAGTGACAAAGAGAAGGTATGTCCAATGCACTTGTGGCCTTGGAAAGCTAAGAGCTGTCCTCGTTTTCACCTCTGAGTAGACAGGAGGAGGCATTGAGGCGACTTGTAGCTAAGTAGGTGTCCATCGCCATGACTACCTGTCTGTCTAATTCATATGTGATGTCTTGTAGTTTTAGATGTCTACTTGTTATTCAGTATGGCTATTTTCAAATCATCTTCTAATTTCTCTGTATTTTCTATGTGAATTAGATTATTTGAACAGATTTTAGAAAAAGAATATTTTATTTATTTTAAATTATTTATTTTATTTAATACTTTTTAATTTTTTTATATTAATTTGTTTACATTTTAATACAAAAGGTAATAGAACATTCATGATCAGAATACAATGTCAATATTGACGGTAAACATGCATCTTATTTGGGGAAACAAATATTGGTAGCCTTGCATTTGAAGCACATCAAAGTATGTAAATTGAATGTGTTTGATTACAGGCAAAAGAGCTTCCCACATTTAAGGACAATGACTTTGTTGATAAGAACCACAAAATTTATATTGGAAAAGAAGGCAAAGAAGAACTCTTGGCTCAACTTAAGATAGATGTTGTGGTATGTTGTTTGTAATGATATTGCTGTTGAACAAAAGATCCAATTATACCTCCACATTACTTCACATTTGAATCCATTGAATCTACATTATTATTACATGTTGGCTTTACATTATCTACACATTTATGATGCAGACACTGTAGTACAATGAAAAAATATATTTATTGCCAATGGGGGG